GGCTTCTCCGGAGCCGTCTGGTGTCTGGTGGACAATATCTGGGTTTCCCACTCTCCTCGGAATCCGGCTCGCAGTTGAAGGTCACGTGGACGCCTCTCCCAGAGCCGTCCTGCGGCGGTGTTAGCACATCCCGACCTTTCCTGGCCGGGGACTGGATTCTTGGTCAGACACTCGCGGTTTCCCTGAGCTTTGAGTTTTCTTCATTTCGGGGTCTGGGAAGTATTTGGCGGTTTCCAGTGGAAAGTAAAACCAGAATTTCAAACAAAGATGAAGCGGGGAGGCTTACATAAACACGGGGGTTTGCTGCATTAAAGAGCAATCCTTGGAATACCGAAATGATTTTTGAATTTTTGGGGTTTTAAGGGTCTAGCTGATTTCAAAAGCCCTGAACATTCCTTTGGGGGTTTTCTTCGTACCCGAGGCTGGCTTTCCCCGCTCCCGGGCGCTGGGAGCCTGGGTGGGCTGCCCGTCCCCGCTGGGCTGGCTCTGCCTCTGGTTCTCTGGGCATGTCTGCCCTGGCAGCCTTTTGGGACCAGGCGTATTGGCTGCTGGGGTTGCTTCAAAATGTTATTTTCGACTTTCATAGGAGATCTTGATTAATAGTCTCTTTGTCCGTTAGGGTCTGGCTTTGAGTGGCAAAAACCCAAGCTGCACTGATCTAAATCCCAGCGTTTCTTGGCTTTGGAGCCGCGTGTTGGAAAGGGCAGGGCTGAGGGCGCCCCAGGGATGCCTCGGACCAGGGCTGTGCCAGTAGACAGAGCTGGGATGCGTCCTGCACAAGCACAGGCTGGAGTCGCTGCCTCTCAGAGACTTCAGCATCTCGGCTGTTTTAGGCGAATGGGGGGCTGTGGAGTCGGTGGTTTTACTCCAGGGAATCCTGAAGATCCAACACCACGTCCAGGGGGAAGGGGTGGAGGCCGGGCTTGCTGAGGGAGCCCAGACCCCTTCTGGGCAGTTCAACAGGTCTCCGCTGAGGCGACACAGAATCCGTCGGAGAGGAAAGAAATGTAGACTTTAGTCTCTTTAGATGGAAATGAAGCCATAAGACCGAGTAGGCGTCACACTCGGACTTCAAACACGCCTGGGAATTCTGGCCTGGGAGGGGCTCCTGCTGGGATGAGGACGGGCTCTGTGGCTGCTCTGGTATTACTGGGTTTCTCTGCGCTGGAACCTCGGCTCCTTGCTGGAACCCTGGGCGGCTGTTGTGGATGGCCTGAGCCGGCGAAATTTGGGATTGGAACGGGACAGGCCAGGAATGGGTTTTCTGCCTACGTGTCAACGTGGCTCTGGAGTTGGCTAAAGAAGGCGTCTTCCTCATTTTTGAAATCGGGGGGCGGGGAATTCCCACCCATAACCTCAGGAAGGTACTTGGCGGGTCCTTGCTTAGTCCTGGGGAGGCCCCGGAAGGAGAGGCGGGTGGTCCGGGTCCTCGCTCTGAAGGGAAGCCACCACCTGACCTCAGGGTGACGGTCACGCCCAGTGGTGTGGGAGCACAGCCTGCTGGGATATTAGGAAACGTCCATCTGTCCTCATCCCTTAGTCCGTCCCCTCCGTGAGGTATTTGTCAAAGGTGCCTAAAGACCGAGATCAGGCTTCTTGGAGTGTACACGCCTTGATGTGTCTTTACTCATCTGCTTGATCTTTCTGGTCCTTGGCGGTGTTTGGGTTGGATACCCTCCGCTGACCTCATCAGTCTAAGTCCTCCTAACACTTTTTCCTTGAATCCATCAGCATTTTACGTGCGTACCAGCTATGTGGGCATCCTGGGTGCCAAGAGAGATGCTGGAGTGTAAAGATGAGGGAGGGGCAGGTGAGGGATGTGCCCCTGTCTACCATGATGCATGGGCCACGAAGATACTGGTCAGGCCAGGCTGCCCTGGGACCTGGCTCTGAACTCAGGCTTCTGAGAGGCTGTCAGCCTTGGAGGGCCCCTGAGGCCGCTCTGTGGAAGCTGAGGACCCTCTGAGGGCAGGTGTGGCAGAGCCATTGGGATCTTGGTTTCCATCCTAGAGCAGACGCAGACGCACACTTAGACCTTGAACCAGAGTGGCCTGTGGGGTCAGAGTGTGGAGCGGGGTCAGAGTGGAAACCGGGCGCTGGCTGTGCCCTGCTGTCCCATTCCCCAGCAGACAGGCACAGGCCTCAGGGAGCCATGGCATGCAGCCGTCGTGCGTGGCAGTGGCCAGATATCAGAAAGGTCACAGGAATATCATCTTGCCACTCGGCACCTGGCAAAACTTTGTTGAATGCGGATAAAGGTCATTTGTATGAAGCACAGCAGCGCCTCTGTCCCGGGATGGAATGGCCTGAGCCCCAGCGGCTCCCCCCTCCGTCTGGAGCACCGGCACCTGTCCCCATCAGACAGCCCTGGGTGGGGAGAGGCGGGAGGACACAGACAGGAAATTCTTTCTACTTCACCCCAAGCCCGTGGCTGCAGCTGCAGCTCGTTTCCCCAGTCCCATCCCGCGGAGGTGAACACTGCTGGCCGGGCCTGACTGCCATGTGGGCTCTGAGGAGCCAGTGATCCCTCTGCTGGGCCTTTCACTCCTGCGGCCCTGACTTCAGGTTTGTCCTTTTTGTCTGTAGAGCGGCTGCTCATGGGAACAGAGCTTTGCAGAATGCACCCATTAGGGAAGGTGGGAATGCTGAACGCTGTTCAGAAGGTCATGGGCTTCGTCTGTCCAGCAGAGAGGGTGGTCTGTGGTGAGTTTCTGAGAGCACATGAGCATAGTAAGGAGCCACGTTGTCATAGTTCACCGTTAGCTCTCAGAGTGTGGACCCTGTAACAAGGAATCCAGCCCACAGCCCCCAAAACCAACTCCATCTCCTTATGTCTCACGTCACATCTAGGGGACGAGGTTACGAGGCTTCCACTGACTGCGGGTAGAACATACTGTCATGTTTCTAGCCCCAAGAATTAGCTTTCGGAATCCAAGTTCAGGCATACTGGCCCTTCCTCTTCTCGTCCCATCCTTTCTGCGTAAGGCAAAGATGACGGTCCCTAGGAAGCATCAATCGTGATATCAATCATGATATCAATCTTAAATATCAAAGTCAATGGGAACCCGGGGAATGCAAACACCTCCTACACAGGTCACCGTGGTGTCTTTTCACTCGGCCTCGTTTGTGGGTGTTGGGTTATGGCGAGAGGCGGTGTGGGGGGTTACTGGCCTAAGGGCCCTGGGGAACCTACATCCAGAACTTTTATAAGGAGCCTGACCCCAAGGTTGCCCCGAAGGCGTGATTTCTGGGTCGCCCAAAGGCCTCTGTGTTCCAAACCAGCCTTCACTGGCTCGTGTGTAAGGCCTCAGACGCTTATGTTGGGAAGTCCTGCCTCGTGCTCCGCTTTTGCTGTGGGGGATGCAGTACCCGGAGAGGGCGCGAGTCACCGTGAGGAAAGCGTTGCTCTCGCATCTCCTTCCTGGGAGAGACTTGCTCTCCGGCCCTGTCTGTGCGTCGGTGTGGGGCATGGAACCCTGGAGCGATGCCTGCTGTCTCGGGAAAAGGGATTGGTGGCAACGAGAACAAGTAGGCGACAGGGGCAGAGAAGGAGGAGTTGGTAGGGAAGCCTCAGGGGAGACACAGGGAGCGCAGGAAGGGGCACCTGCAGGTCCTCATGGGCAGAAAGGTCCGGAGAGCGAATGGAGAGGAGCCATGAGCGCTCACCCGCCAGGCGCAGAGACGTGAGCCCTCACCTGCTGTGCGCAGAGACGGCGCTGCTGTCCTCCTGGTCCCCCGGCCGTTCCGCCCGCGCCTCTGCCATCGGCCCGGAGCCCCTGCTGAGCTGGGACGGACCACACGTGGCTGCAGCCGTGCCCGCAGCCCGACAGCGCTCTCCGCTCCAACACAGCACTTTCTGACGCTTTAAAATCATTTTCTTAACCTTTCTCTTCCATTCTTTCCTATTCCTTGAGTTTCTCTGGGGGCGGCCACAGGCGCGCTCTCCTTTCCCACAGGCTTTCCCCAGGGGCGGCGCACGCAGCTGTGGGCGAGACGCGGCGGGTGGAGGGTCAGCCAGGTGCCCTGGGCGGGATGCCGGTGCAGGCTGTCCATACCGACCCCCTGTGGTCATCACCCACGCCCGCCCTCCCCTCTCCCCGTCCACCAGTGTCCACATTCATTTTCCTTAATGTTACTAAGCTTAAAGCGTTCTGGCTTTTTTTTTTACTCCTTCTCCACCCACTGACAATGCCTTGCATCACTGAATAATCAGTTTCAGATCCTGGTTTGCCCCAACTTTGACTATTGTGCGAATTTTTACCTTATATTTATGTCATGTGGCATTGCAACATCACTTACATATTGTGTTTCATTTTGGCTAGTTTTTAAAAATGAAGAAAAAAAATTTTTTTTAGAACCTCACAATTGAAGATAAAAATGCAATGTCCTTAACAACTTGGTTTTCTTCTGTGACAAAACAGGAAACACTAAGTTAGCTCCTGCAGATAAAGCCAGAGGCGTGCCTACCCCTGAGGCGGCGGCCCTGGCTGGTGGTGTTTGCAGAAACCGGTGCTTCTGCTCCTCATGCAGACGGGGCGTACCTTCCGGGTGAGGAGGTTCTTGTCATTCTCCTCAGAGGCCGTGCAAAGGCCGGGTCACGGCCCCAGGCAACATGCTTATTAAGGTAGAAAGTCACTGAGTGTGTGAACGCCTCTGGGGAAGAGGTCACATGACCAGTTGGGTATTCTCACCCCAGCGAGGCCCCGTGAGCCAGCGGAGAAGGCCGGGTTTATTTCGATTTGTTTCTGGTTTAAACTTACCACCCACAGCCATCCAAGAACGCTTCAGAGCCTGTGGGTCTGGTGTCTTTTCACTCGGCCCCGTTTGTGGGTGTTGGGTTATGGGTGTTGGGTGTGGTGTGTTGCGTTGCTGTCATTCTGTAGCAAAGTCCAGACCTGCCCGCGCGTACAGCCATTCTCTAACGATGTCAGAGAGCGCTGGGAGGCGCCCCCTTTCCCGCCCGCCATGCCCGTGGGCTGATAGTTGCGCTGTTTGCATAGCTGAGCACCCACTGAAGCCGAGGCACGTGAAACTGCTGTCCGCTAAGACGGGCCTGAAAGTCACGTGGGACCCGCCCAAAGACGCCAGCAGTAGGCCCGTGGAGCGTTACAACATTGCCTACGGGAAGTCCCTGAAAAGCCTTAAGTACATCAAGGTGAATGCAGAGACGCGGTCCTTCCTCATTGAGGACGTGGGTAAGTGACCTCCGGGCTTGTTCCCCGTCAGAGCTGCCTGTGCACCTGTTCCCGGTTCCGTGAGCCAGGGGTGGCCAGGCCCACTGGCTCCTGGGGGACGGCCTTCCTCCTGCCGGGGGCCTTCCTGGGCCTCTCTCCCCACTGATGCCGGAAACCATTTTTAGGTCAGATTCCTTCCTCATGGCTCCATACATTTCTCTGAGTCTCTCCCACCATCCCTCCGGCCCCACGGAGCCCAACTGGGGGCTAAGTGGAGGTTCTCCTGGACCAAAGGCAAGTGCAGGCTCACACCTGCCTGCTCAGAGCTTGGGTTGTTATGTTGCCGCCGAGAAGAAAAACATGCAAATGGAGAGACTCCGAGCTCTCTGAGCAGCAGTGTCTCCCAAGCAACTCTGATGAGCTAACTCAACGGAAGCAGAGACGGGTATTACATTTCTCTGAAATACAAATAAGCTCAGGACGAAGAGAGAAAGTGCCTGGCAGAGCATAATTTCACATTCAGTTCGAACCTGAAGCATTTCCTGGTTAGTCTGGCAAGTCGTGCCAAACCCTAAATGCCACCAGACCCTGCCATGGTCAGAAAGAGGCCATAGGAGCCCGGGCACAGCAGGTGTCCCCCACAGTACGGCCTTGGCCTTGGGCTGTATCCTGGGGCTCTGGCTGAGAACTGAAGCCGTCAGGGGAACGCTCCTCACGCTGAGGAGTGCCCATACCATGATGGCCTTTGATGGAACTAACTCTAACCTCTCCACCATCGTCCCCTCACATGCCTGCCAGCTTCCATCTCCTCAAGGGGCTGGCTCCTCCACTTACCTTTCTTAAGATAATAATTCATCTTGAGGAAAACCAGCAGCGCTAGAGTTTTCCTTCACGATGGCAAGTTCAGGGCTAACTTGGTGTCTTAGTTCCCTTCCGCATCCCAACAACTCCAGCAGCTCAACCAAAGACACCACTGCGATTTGACCTTGACCCCTAGATCCAAGTAGAAAAGGAAGCCCAATTATTTCAAGATTAGCATTAACAAGATCCCAGGAAATATTTTTTTCTAGGTATTTGTGGAAAGAGTCAAAGACCACATGCAGAGGCAGCCAGGGGTCTGTTTAATTGTGAGAAGGGACATATTTCATGAAGCGTTATTGATTGCAGTGAAGAGTCCCCAGGTGCTACGCTTTATGAGTTATGTTGACATTTTCTAATTATTTTGGAAGATTTCCCTTGGGGGCTTTCATGAGGAAACGTTGTTTGTAGTTACAGACACGGTCGGTTGAAACATGGATTTAGTGGACAGTGTGCTCCTACTTCCTACATTAATGTCACGTTAAAAGGCTTAAAAGCTTTTTTGTTGACTGCTCACAAATCCAGGTTTAATTCACATGCCATGTATTTTGTAATAAATAAATGTGTGTTCTCTGGTCAGGTATATTTCTGTTGCATGGGAGGGATGTTAGTCTTTTGGTTAAAAATAGAGACAGCTATAGTTAGACTTGTCACTAAATTCAAATACTTATGTTTGGTTGTAACTGGTAAGAGGAAGACAGCGAATCAAGCTGTCGCTCTTGGAGATTTGAAACGGGGCTTGATCCAAACCGTGTGTTTCAGAGCCGGGGGTAGTGTACTTTGTGCTGGTCACTGCAGAGAACGACAGTGGAGTGAGCCGGCCTGTGTACAGAGCGGAGAGCCTGCCTGGTAAGTCTCACCTAGAATGGGAGGCTGTGTTTCTGTTACTGAGATTGGGAGAAACGTCCCTCCCTGCTTCTTCATGTCAGTGCAAGTTTGGAATCATTAGAGTTAGATTTGTAGAACAAGCTGACAGACTGAAAACCGGGAGAGATTTATCCCTTCTTTCATTGTCAGTTAATGTAGGTGGTTAGTGTTTTGTTGTAAATTCTTGAGTGCTCACTAGAACAAGTCATGTGCAAAAGACTAAAAGGATGTGTTGTCCATAGAGCTTAGGTGCTGAGTCACTAAACTGGCCCCAGGCGGTCCCTTTTAAGCTTAGAGCAATGTTTGGGATGCTCTGAATGGTTAGGGGTGCTCTGAATGGTTAGGGGTGCTCTGAATGGTTAGCGATGCTCTGAATGGTTAGGGGTGCTCTGAATGGTTAGGGGTGCTCTGAATGGTTAGGGGTGCTCTGAAAGGTGGGAGCTCGTCCAGTCCTCATCTCTAACTATCAGGTTGCATTTTCCTAATTTAGGAGGTGAATGGATCCAGATTGATGGTCTCCCCATTAAGGGTCCAGGACCATTTAATGAAACCGTCACAGGTACTATTTGCTCATCCGGTTCATGTCTTCACTGAGGCACGGTCTCTGGAAAGGGTCGTGCTTCTGTCACACACATGTGCTCACAAACCTTCACCCAGTCCCCATCGCTGAACTAACGCGCACGCTGCACAGTGCTGGTCCACCTGCCGTGTACCCAGGGGGCCGACCCGCAGCCAGTGTCACTCATTCCTCACTGTTCTCTTATGTCCTGGTGTGGGGAGGTGTCTGTGTCTACATCTGGGGGTACCCTATGCTATTAACACTAACTTCCAAAAAAATGTGGTGGCGGAGATGGCAGTCCTGGCCTGACGGGTTGGCATGAGCAGATGGGACCCACCCAACGGTGGCTTTTATTGGCTAATCCAATGCAGCGAGTCCTTCTCTTCTTAAAACCATGGGCTAGTTGGTGAAATGCTAGATGACCTGCCTTCCATCTCTGCTCCATATTTGTACATGTATGTTTTATCATTGGGATGTTGGTGTTGTCTAATTATGTGGTTTTACTTGTTGGGAGAAGTGTTGACATTTCTGTGTGTTCTTTGAATATATTTAATTAATGGTGCAAAATGATGGAAAATGCATCATTAATTAATTAATGTGGTTATTTTTGAGTATGTTGGCTACTGTCTCGAGGCAACAGGGAGAGGAGCTGGGTTTTATTTTCATAAACCATGCATTTAAATACATCAAACTTACGCTATTGAGAGGAAGGTGAGTATATTAAAACCAATAACTCTGATCTGTTTCTCAGTTAAGATTTGGTGGGTGTGGGCAAATTTTATGTGGAAAGGGAGGGAGGAATAAAACATTAGGAAAGGAAACTGGCTTTGGAGGAGGGGTGATTCGTTCTTCACAGATGCCGGACGTCAGGTGAGCGTGGGGCGCTGTGCGGAGAGGCCTGTCGGCTGCAGAGGAGGGAATGAACGCTGGAAGAGAGAAGTCCGAGGCAGACTGGCTGTAGGAGGCACGCGGGAGGGAGAGTTGGAGGAGAGAGGGTACATGAGGGCGAGGGTTAGCAGAGATGAGAAGGTGAGGAGCACAGCTTGGAAAACATTGGCAGTGAGATAGTCAGAAGGTGGTTCAGTGAAGCCGTGTGTACAACGGGACAGGAAGTTTATTCCAGAGGTTTCCACCCCTGAAGACACACAGGTGAACATTCACAAAGACCTCATAGCTCCCTTCCAGATGCAAATCCACATCCTTTTGTTTTGTCCCCAGGAGAGGTGTCCAGGTATTGGATCCTCTTACTGACCTCCCTGCAGACTTCTCTTCTGAGGTTGCCCTAGCTTTCTCCTGTCCCTGGATCTGAGCTAACCTGTTATGCACAGAGACAGGCACTCGGGGGCGGGGCCAGGAGGCCTGACTGCTTCCCACAGCCAAGGACGCAGCCGCCAGTTCCCCCACCTTCGCCTGGCTCTTCCCTGGGAAGTTCGAGGCTCCTTGGGATCATTTGCAGTTTCAATACTGCTGCCTCAGGACATGCTCAACTCACACTGGGGCCAGATCATGGGGCCACCAAGAGCCAAATTACCAATCAGATGTCGTCCTCTCCTCACAGAGCAGTTTAATTAAGGTCTTCGGCCCATGGGGAAAGAATATTGCCTGTGGCATTATTTCCTTGTGCGACTTTAAGATTTATTACGTATGCAATTTGTAGAGCAAATCTCAGTGTCTTGTTCAGGGCCGGGATGGTGAGCCCGTCAAGGGCAGTCTCTTGGATTTGCTCCTCTCCGCCTCCCGGGCCTGGGACACGCACCTGGCACCCACTCAATAACTGTTTACTGGAAAGGCGCCAGAGGCCACTTCCTTTGTGTGGGCCAGTGCCGGGTGCTGAGCGAGGCAGGGCCGTGTCAGAGGTCAGGGTCACCTATGCGTCAGCTGCTGATGCTGGGGTGGTCCAGGCAGGCCAGGCTGTCCGCCACTGAGCGCTGCTCTCATTCCCCCGACACCCGCATTCTCGCCTCTGGTCAGGGGGCCTGGCTGAGGAGCGGCTGCTGCACCCGCGGACTGGGTTCCTCCTGGCGGCGGGGCCGTGAGGATTCGCTTACACCGTCAGGTGCTGGCCCGGTGGTGTCTGTGGTGCAAATGCGGGTGTAGCGGCAGTGGCGGCACGGCCAGTGCAGGGGTCCGGCAGGGCTCCGAGGGTGCAGGGACAGCCACACTGAAGCGCTGGATGGCTGAGCTCTGAGTGCGGGTGGGGGTGCCCTCACATCGGTGTCCAGATGGAGCCCTGACCCAAGTGTCAGGCTTTGGTTTTCTGGTTACTGTGAGGGTTTTTGTCACCTGCCTGACGGCTGGTCGGGGTCCAATAAATGATGAAGGTGAGCGACATTCTGACAGACACTGTTCCAAAGTGAAGAGGTGAGAGCCCCTTCCTTCTTGTCGGTAGATGGCTGGCCCGCCCAAGGCCCCACCCGCGCTCAGGAAGCAGAGAAAGTGCTGGGTGCCTACGGGAGAGGAAAAGGCTCAGGAGAGATGGCCGCGTGAGCACTGCGGGGCTGAGTGGGGAGGGACGTCGGAGAGTCAGGCACAAAGGTCTCAGGGGGCACGGTCAGAGCTCGCGGGGAAGGAGCCTGGCAGACGGAGGCGGGAGGCGCTTGCTGACCCACCTTGGCAGCTGTCAGTCAGCTGGGGGTCTGGGCCCGTGTCCGGGCAGGGAATGCAGACTCAGAGTGGGGACAGCAAAGCACGTGTTCTGTATTCTGGTGGCGCCTGACCACCTTCACCTTCTCCAACTCATACCCACCCCCACCCCCACCCACAAACCCCCTCTTCCTCCTCATGCTGATGCACCCAGTGCACTGGGCCTGGGATGGCGCCTGGCCCGACAGGTGGGAGCCGAGGGCGTGGTTCCAAGCCGCCCAGGGGATGTGATGCCGCTGCAGAGTGAGGACCACCTGTCAGCCTGGGGGTGGGCGCCCTCCTGCCCACAGCCAGGGCCCTGGCGGCCCTGAGCCCTGATGTGGGGATGGCGGGACGCTGCCTGGGGCTGAGGGTGGCGCGCGAAGGCCAGTGAGCACGCAGGCCCGCCTTTTCAGAGGGAGGATCCAGGCCCTCTCTGCGAAGCGTGGAGGTCAGTGCAGTGGGTGTCGGGCGTGAGAGGGCCAAACCGCTTATTCTTCAAAGCTGTGGACTGAATGACCCCTCACACTCAGCTGGGAGAGGAGAAGGTCCTGCTAGCTGGGCCCGGGCCCAGGAGCTGATGGCGGGGACTCATCTTCGCGCCAACAAGGAGTAGGAAGGGACTGGCTAGAGTGACGGACTGTTGCTAGGTGTGGATGAAGACAAGCACAGAGCTCTCAGTGCACGGTGCACAGAAGCTGTCTGGACAGAGACAAGCTCATATTTGAGGTTTTATTGTAAAAACCGGTGACACTAAGTTCTTTGAAATACATGTATCTAGTGTCCCTCGTGTGCAAGGCATTGTGGTAGAATCTGTAATGGGTCCCTGGGTTCCATTCTGGGGGGCTGCCCACACATCCAGTGAATCTGATGAGGGGTTTCGTTTTTTATCACAATCACAACCCCAATTAGCAATTAATGTGTGCTTCACATATGCTTTCCGTGACTTATATTACAAAACACAATACGCTACACGCCATTCCTACACAAGGGAGGAATGAGAGTGGGTGGGAGCCTCAGAGTCACGCAGACAGCAGGTAACAGACCGGGACTGGACTGGAGAGCCTGCGGGAGCCCAAACCAGAAGCTACCACGCTTAACGGGCACCGAATTGTAAACCTAAATGGACAAACATCGTGTTGAATTTTGGATTTTTTTTTTTCAAGAACAGGTTTTGATTCTGTGCAATTTAGGAATATTTGCCCACTTGTGTAGCTGACAACACAACTTAGGAGACGTGGCTGTCTGGCTTTCTGCAGTCTAATCTCAACGGTCCTAGTTTCCTCTGTGACCCCCCGAGGGGACGGCTGTAATGAATGGTATCAACCGGCTCTGAGTGAGGCCCGCCTGGTGCTGTGCCGGGCGGCGGGGGCCAGCGTCCTGCCACGTTAGGGCCCACGCGGGAGGACGGGATTGCTCCCGGCAGTCGGGACATTTGTTTTCCAGATAAAAGCCTCCCTGGGATTTATTAGAGAATTTCAGGAGCCTTCCAGGAGGCTATTTCATTTGGCTTAGACAAACACTTAAAAAATCTCAGCCCCAGTGAATTCGAACCATCTGGATAGTTTTCTTAGTGTGCCCATCAGCTTAGAGAGGATTACCAGATGGCTGTACCGGATCCATAAAGATGCCTGACGGTGTGGGTGTCTGATGGGGAAGGGACTTTTTCTCCAGATCTGTGTGAATGAGCGTCTCTGTCATTCCCAGAATCACTTGCAGGTCCTTGATTGTTCTAGAAGCCACACCTGGAAAGGGAGCGCTCGCCTGGGAACCTGAGCACAAAACTGAGATCAGTTCACAGAACCCAGTGCAAGTGGCTAACACGCCCAGGTGCGAGGCGAGTTGTATCAGGTGGCCGTTGGCTACACGATTGGATTCAAAACCCAAAACCTTTCTAAGTCGCACTTGGGACAGGGGGAAAACGTTTGTGGACTGCCCCCCTCCCCCTCCCCCCCGGCATGCTCCGAGGAGCTTCAGGAACGGGATGCCCAGTGGCTGGCCAGGAAACCCCAGCTAGTGAGCAAAGGGCCGTTCCCTTTGGCAGGTCCGGAACACGGACCAGGCGTCCTGCTTCCGGGAGAGCCATCTCCAATGGCTGCCGACTGACTTACTGCATCCCTGGAGTTCACACTAACCTGTGGCATTAGGTTGTGTCCTTCCAGCTTAGCCTCCTGGGGGTTTTCCAGTCTGATACAATCAGGCAGCACTGAGGATGGGTTAATGGATATGGTGGAGGGAGAATGCTGGGCAAGTCCCTGGCTTACAGAACCAGAGGTTCTCTCGCTGGCCTAACGGGATCCCCAGATAGGACTAGGATGTGGTCTGCTGTCGGCAAGGGACAATGGAGTCGTCACATGGCCTGTGGCCCTTGTTCCCAAACTTAGCAGTTCTTCATCGATGTAAAAGCAACGCTTCAAACACTGGCCCCAGAGCGAGCTGCTGTGAGAAAGCTAACCGTGGCAGTGTTTCTTGAGCTTGACCGTTTTAGCATGAGGACTTCTCGAAATGTAGAAGCAGGAACAGCGGAGACAGATGGCAGCCATGGCGGGGCGGGCCCGGGTCTGTCTGGAGGGCACATCAGACATGTCAGAAGAATTAAGATCAAAACCAGGAGCCAGTTACTATGTGGGCCGGAGTGATTCACCGCCAAGGCCAGGAAAGCCCTATCCGGCTTTACGAGGGGGCCCCCTGCAGGGCAGTCAGAGCAGTGCTCCTGTGTGCTGCTGCTCTGTCATGCTGACCTCCTGCTCTCACCAGGGAATAGAGAGCTTTGGATTTCGAGGGGCAAAGGAAGTAGATGAAAAAGAACATTTGTAAACACTCAGGGCCTCTGGATGGCCGTCTCACGCACGGCCGGTTTCCGCGGGAAGTCCTCGGGCCTCTCGGCCTCACACACGGGAGGAACACGGGCACCAGGGTCGGCGCCCTCGGGGGACGATGTTCTTCCCGGAACTGCCGACCTACATGGATGTTTAAACTCAGCTGCGTGATGGCTGCGGCTCAGCCTCTGGACAGACTTTCCATACGCACTGGTGGACTCTGAGGGTATAGGTTTAATAGTTTCTGTGTCGTATTTCTTTAAGAAAAGGAAGCGCCAAACAAGCCCTTGCGTGTCCGAGTCCGACCCTCAGACGACCGGCTGTCCGTTGCGTGGAAGGCGCCACGCCTGTCCGGAGCCAAGAGCCCACGCCGATCGCGGGGCTTCCTCCTGGGCTACGGGGAGAGCGGCCGCAAGATGAAGTACGTCCCCCTGGCCCGCGAGGAGCGGACGCACGAGATCAAGAAGCTGGGTGAGTGGGCGTGAGCTGGTGCTCAGAGTTCGGGGGCTTCCCATCACTTCGTGTTCGGAAGCTGGATCCTGACCAACGTCACAGCTGTCGTCCCGTTGATTTTCCGGGTATGATGGTTATTCAGAGCGAGGTCCTGTCCCGTCCTCCGCCTGTGCCCCTGCCCTTAGCCTGCAGTCAGCTGCTTCCTGCCTGCAGCCCAGCCCTGGAGCGGGGTCCTTTCCCGGACGTGGGATGGGCGCTCATGCGTTTTGCATGTTGGCTCTGCCTTCACCGTTTTGCTCCTCAAGCTTTGCCTGAGGTCCTAGAACACTGGGCCGTGGGCCCCGTGAGAGGAAATGTGGGGGCAGCTGATGGAGCCTGACCGTTGGCCTGCTGTCCCCCCTCTTCGCAAAGCCTCATTGTGGGGAGGAAGCACTGGCCGTGGGAGCTGCGGGGACAGTCGCCGTGACCAGGAAAGGTCTGGCATCATTCCAGGCCCGGCCTTTGCTGGCCTCGGTGGGTGACCGGCCTGGACATCAATGTGAGAGACACGTCAATCGATTGTCTTCTGTACTCGCCCCGACCGGCGATTGAACCTGCAGCCCAGGCTTGTGCTGCCCGGGAACTGAACCGGCAGCCTCTCGGTGCACAGTACGATACTAACCAGCCGAGCCACTCTGGCTGGACTCTCGGTGGTTCTCGATCCATGCTGGTCACTGCCCTCCAGGCTTAGCTACGTAGGCACGTCCCTGCATTGGGAGATAAAGGCAGCATTCTTCCTTTGATGACTCAGCATGTTCCCCTGTCAGTGGCACCCAGGCATTCAGGGATCTGAAGTGAGTCCTCCACTAGGCGCTGACCTGGCACTGTGGCTGCTCTCGTCTCCTCTCCCTCCTGTTTGATGACAGTTAAGAGAGTCCCCCCTGTCTCTATTTGGAAATAAGAGGAAATTGGGGGACTTATGTGGGCATGTGTGCTATCCCCTTCTCTTTAAAGCCTTGTTCATCTTTGATGCTGATGAGATAGAAACCCGTTTTCCAGGAATAACTGGTGGAAATCACCTTCACACCATGACAGTGTTCTTGGTTTAGTTCCTGCCAAGCTTGGGCTCAAATTTAATTGCCCGGAAGAAGGGAAAATGCCCTAGAAAGATGAGCTGGGAGGGGGATAGAGGAGGGGGCCGAGGACAGAGGGCTGTGTCCCAGGAAACCGGCCGCAGAGCCTCACTCCGGCGCCTCGTCCACAGCCTCCGAGTCGGTGTACGTGGTCTCCCTGCAGTCTCTGAACTCCCGGGGCCAGAGCCAGCCGGTGTACAGGGCCGCCCTCACGAAGCGGAAGATCTCAGGTATGTTTCTAAGGACGCATGTGGTCAGCCACGGTCCAGTGTGAATCCAGTGTTGCTCCCAAATGGTGCTGCCAGGCGACGGATTCCGTGGATTTTCTTGAGGGTAAAGGAAACAGCAGGGCGGCGTGGCCACGTTTTGGATACAAGTGTGTTTGTTTCTTCTCTAGCCAGAGGGTGAGGGATTCTTGTGATGGACTATAGTTCTGTATATTCTGACTGTCTTTACTGTGCCATCGATTTGCCCTCATAAGAGCAGCCACACATTTATTCCATCGAAGGGCACAGTGTGACCCCCATGGAGACGTCCCCTGGTGCTAGACTGAAGAGAGAGAGAGAGGAGCGAATGGGGTAGCGTGCAAGGATGCAGGGAAACTTTATTTCAGCCAAACTTGAGGAACAATGGCAGCGGGAAGAGTGAGAAAGGATCTAGGGATGGTGTGCTTATAGCCTGATCTAAGATATTTTTCTACATTTGTTCACAGAGATTTTCTATAGTACCCATTTATAACAAATTACATACATCTTTTCTGGTTCCTGGGCCTTACCTAAAGAGGTAACCTGTAGCATAATTATTTTATGAACTTATAGCTTATTTGTTAATTATAGCTTTATATTACAAAATGTTATCATATAATGTTATATTATTATAATTTTTACATTGCCTAACAGCAGGCCCATGTACGGGATTTTTCACCTTTATTGGTCATTAGTTGTTGCTCTCCAAGAAGTCACTATATCAGTTTCCTAAGGCTAAATATTTCTAAAGTTTCCTACTTGTAGTTAAAGCCACAAAAACACACACACACAAAACCCCAGAACAAAAACCAAAACAAAACAAACAAAAACACCCCAGAAGCCTAAGAGACTCAAAAGCAAACTTGAAGGCATCTTGTGTCTCAGTTGGTTAGTGACTGAACAGACTGTGAGGCTGTGTCTGGGATGTGTTCTACCGGAAACCGCAGGCTGAGTTCTCTTAAGTACGGAATACACCTGTTCCTTTGCCTTGGCACCCGCGCTCTGAAATGTGAGGGGCCGGGCCCCCCTGTGATTCATGCTGTTGTTGGCACCAGAATTTTTGCTTCGTGCCACGATTGCCAAGGAAATGCTTCCCTGAGCTTTTCCTCCCTTAAAATTTTGCTTCCTGTAAGAACTGTATTATTTCCCGGAAACATACCGTGTCTGCTGAGGAGACCCCGAGTTACTGGGAGTGTCTCTGACCCTGGCCCAGCCTCTCTTGTGCTTCACGGCCATTGGGTTGGGCAGTTTGCAAGTGACTGCGCTTGAGAAGGGCAAGCGTGGAGATTCGTGTTTCTCTCCAGGGACCAATCAAATCATTAACTTCCCGTTCACTTCATTTACGGCCCCCGGGGAACTAAACTCGGGGGCCAGAGGAACCGGCGTGGAGTTACTGCCGGGACAGCCTTCCCACGCACCCGCTGTCATTTCAGAGGAGGATGAGCTGGACGTCCCTGAGGACATCAGCGTCCGCGTGATGTCGTCCCAGTCTGTGCTGGTGGCCTGGGTGGACCCGGTGGTGGAGAAACAGAAGAAAGTCGTTGCGTCCAGGTACTTTCCTGACCTCCTGGTCTTTCTTGTCTGTGTGAGAGATGTGGGCTTTGTGGCCCCAGAGAGACATTTACTTGAGGGATGTGATTTTCTGACTCTCTGAGTGCTGGTGGTTTTTGAAACTGGACAATAGACTGTCCTGTGGCAATGATGCTAATCTTGAACGTGGCCACACATCCCCACGGGCCACGTGCCACCAGGACCTCGTGTGTGATGCACAGGGCAGCACCTCACATCTCGCCTTCTCCGCCTCATCCTGTGTCTGCAAATCCTACTTCTCTCTTTGCCCTCCTCTGCTTTGCTGTGCCTTATTAATTCTGTATTTGAAAAAATGTATGTTGTTATTGATTTCAGAGAGGAAGGGAGAGAGATATACAGACATCAATGAGAGAGAATCATTGACCGCCTGCCTCCTGCATGCCCCCTACTGGGGATCGAGCCTGCAACCAGGGCATGTGCCCTCGCTGGGAATTTAACTGTAACCTGGCTTATAGGTCAATGCTCAATCACTGAGCCACACCAGCTGGGCTTTAGTAATCTATTCACGTGTAGAAGCTACAGGCCCATGTGAGGAGGAGCCTGACCCTTCCTAGTTCCCCATGGAGAGTGGCAGCCCGCAGGCTCTCTCGAGAGAGGTGGGCCTCCGTCTCACCCTCGCGCCCCGCAGCTCCTTTTTAGACGTCTCCAAGCACAGCCTGCCTGGTGTAGCTCATTGTGCATGAAGGTATTTCTTTTCAAGCCACGACGAGATGCTATTCTGATTTGTATACTAGTTTGCAATAGCAAGAGAAGAAAACCAACTGTAAAGTTAAAAGAACTTTTGTGTTAAAAAGGCTACAGTTCCAGTCAGTGGTAGATTAAAGTCATCACCAAAAGCTGCTGTGTCACGTGACTTAGAGTTTATACAGCTAAGACACAGCCACAGATTTGGTGGCTCGTCATTACGTACTGATCTTTGAACCTGTCTGCAACCAGGAAAAGTGAGTGTACTTTATAAAACGAATGAGACACAACGCTGAGAAAGATATGTAACATGATGTATAAACTGTTTTTTGAGCTAGAGTTTCCGGCTGCCTGCTGGTGAAAAGACACCTGCTTCCTGTAAAGACCAAGGTCACAGGACTCTCGCGGTTCATAGCAACGCTCCCTGCTCTTAGCCTCCTCAATATGCACAGCTCCCGGCTCCCGGGGCTCTGTGTCCAGCATCATGATGAGAACAGAGAGGGCTGTGTTTCCCGTGTCCACTGTGTGCTGTCTGCACCGGAAGTGCTCTCCTGCCTTGGTGACTGTCATAGCGACCAGCACAGTTCATGCACCAAGTGCTTCCTGCTGCACAATGTCCGCAAAGACCCCTCCGTGGCAGCGCCCGGAGTCGAGCATGCCTTCCTTCTGTGCCCGGGAGTGAGCTCACACGTGTTTCTCTCCATGACAATCTCACACTCCAGGTCTGCTTCTCAGCTCCTCCTCCCGCTCTGTCTGTGACATCTGCTGCTCCTTCTCCTGGCAGTAAGTTTATTCCATACCCCGTGCTGCCTCCCCTTTACCAGAGGAAACATGCCTGATTTGGCACGAAACGAGTCTTTTTGTCTTTCTCTTCTGGAAAGCCAAGCTACCTTGGGCCAGTTCTGATTCTTACCTTGCCCTCTCCACACGGCACACGTGCACAAACTCATGCACACATGCGTGCACACACCCCTGATAAGGCACGTGCCTCAGCAAAGCCACGTCTCCCCTCTTCCACCAATCTCTGCTTCGGCTTTTGAGCAGAATGAGTTTCCAGTCGTGGAAAGTCACCTTCCCTGTCCGCTTTAGGCACCGTGAGCCCCAAACATAGCCCAAGTGAGGCCTCCATGCTCTGATTCCCGTTTCCCTCGCAAAGTCACCGTTTCCGGGGGGAAGGGCGTGAGGCCCGCGTGGCGGGAACGGCCGGGAGCACCGCCGCTGTGTCTCTTCCAGGCAGTACACGGTGCGCTACCGGGAGAAGGGGGAGCTGGCGCGCTGGGACTACCGGCAGGTCCCCCAGCGGCGCGTGCTGATCGAGGGCCTGCTCCCCGACACCATGTACGAGTTCGCGGTCCGCCTGTCGCAGGGGGACCGAGACGGCAAGTGGAGCACCTCGGTCTTCCAGAGGACGCCGGAGTCCGGTGTGTATGAGTGGCTTGTGGGGGGTCAGTCTGGGAACGCCCCTAAAGTAAGATCCCGAGGCCCTTTGAGAGGCCAGCAGTGATAGAGGCCAGCAGAGGCGTTTTAAAAAGCGACATTAGCCCCAAACCTTGGCGGTGTGTGTACACGAGGACACGAGAAGCAGGAACCATTTCCTGGGGCCCATGGCCCACCCTCCGCGGCCGTTCCCATGACTTGTCATCCTGCCCCTGCGGCTCCAGGGGTCCCGGGGGCAGCGCTGTCCCCGCCGCTGCCCGTGTGCCCGCGGGAGCGTCCGCGGCCCCGAGTGGGGGTTCTCCTGAGGCCGGGGCTGCATTTGAGCCTGCGGCCGGAGGAACAGGCGGGAAAGTTATTATGTCTTTTTAAACCGTGTCTTTGTTTTATAAAAGCCTTGATTTTAATCTCCTTGGAATATCTCAGTACTGAGCAATGAGAGGGTTCCGAATTCCGAAAAGCATCTCGCTAGCGGCGAGCTCCCCCTGAGCCGGGCCACTCGGAAGCCGCCGCCACCGGAGCGAGCGCTTTCCTCGGCGGCCGGCGGCGGCGGCGGCGGCTCTGCCATGAGCTGCAGTGAGGACGCTGCCGTCGGCTTCAGAAGGCGCGCCAGGCCTTTTCAGGCCTTGGACCCTTGACCTTGCTTTGCAGCTCCCACTATGGCTCCGGAGAACCTGCGAGTCTGGCCAGTCCACGGCAAAACCACGGCTGTCACCGTGGCGTGGGACGCCCTGCCTGAGACGGAGGGCAGAGTGAAAGGTAGGGAGCTGGCACGAGGGCACGAGGGGCACCTGGGGCGACGCCCCCCACACTGTGCTGACTCAGAGCGCCGGGCCTGATCACGGCCTGTAGCTGCCCTGGGAACAGGGAAGCTACACGTCTGTGCGGCGCTAACCCAGCAGTGAGGATTTTCACACGGGGTTTCCTATGGGTGAGACCAGGGAGTCATGAGGATGACTCCCACCTCTGCGTCCGCAAGGACCTGGGTCCGCTACCAGAGGGTGCTTTCTGGTTTTGACTATGGGAGTGACATCCTAACCTTGACCCACACCAATGGCCCTTGTTTTTCATGTTCTGGGTCTTTTCATTGTGCCAGTAAGATCATGGAAAGTGGGAGCGAGCAGGAACCCCAGGGACCATGAGTGTCTTGAATGGGACCAAAATCTTTTTAATGGGATTGAGAACTCAAGTAAAACATCAAAAATTAGTCAGCTTTTAAAATTAATTACTTTGGGGGAGTTGAGGAAAATTTGACCTTAAAATAACAATACTGTAGAGTTACAAATAGGATAAAACATTAACAAATAGTTAAATTCAAAAAAGGTCTGTTGAGAATAGTAAATAAAAGCACAAATCCTTTCTTTTCAATTTAGAAACATCTAAGAACCTTTCAGAAGTCTGTAGAGATATTGTGAACTTTTCCCTTGAGATCATTGATACAAATGTACCCTAAGGGTGCTTTTTATTGTTACACAATCTTGGAAGACATATTTAAGTCTTCAAAAACTATGAGACTTCTTGTCCAGAAACTATGGAAAGTTTGCGTAAGCTTAAAGAAATCCAGAAAATGACCACTGATTTTCCTTGAAGATTTCTCAATTGAAATAAACGACTTGTTCTGTTTTGTATACAACTGTATGCTGTCTTTGTTGACCTGTAAGGACCTTTCCATGGGACAATGGGAGGAAGGTAGACATGAGATAGTCTTTTCTAAATGTAAGGGTTTCCCACTTTCTTGTTTAAGAAGAAAATATTGTACTATTCTTACTCTTTTTTTTTTCCTAGTGGAATAAATTAGAAACAAATGAAGAGAAGAAATGTTTAGTTGGCCCTTTTAAATAATTCTTTTTATAAAAATCTGAACACTGGCTCCTTCTGGACTAAGTATCGTGGTAATGCTGGGAAGTGAGTAAGGACAGTTTTGGGTTGACTACCCTTTTCGGTTATAAAAACATCCATCATTGCTCCGTTAGTGCCATTATTACCATGCTGCTTTTGTCTTCGTTCCCTCTCCCACGGCTTGTTTATACTTCTCTCTCTTTGGGGAAAGAAGCTCCCGGGCAGTCAATTCAATATTATTATAATAATAACAGCTACTGAGTTATGTCCAAAAGAACCCACAGATTTTCATAAAGGTGAAAGGTGTGGTAATGAGATTGAAAATTCACAATTATACCAGGACATTTTTTTTTTATGTCTGAGAACTATAAAACACAATAGAGTATAATTTGACATGGTTAACTTTTTTTCTAAACGAAATGAATCCATAAAAATATCTGAATTACCAAATTTCATAGATAGGCATTCTTTTAATTTTGACTTCTGACCACCACAGATGACCAGTTTATTCACTTTCAACAAGCACACTTCTTTTTTCTTCCTACAAATGCTTTAAAAAACACTTTTTAAAGATTAGTTCATAGGTAAAAGCTTTTCCATGCCTCCAGAGGAAGCATGACAATAGCTTGGTTTTTCTGTAATTCCGTTTTTTGTTAGCTCCCAGTCATATTAATTTGATAAGTTTTGTAAATCTTGAGGTCAGTGGGAGTTTTAAATAGGCTTCTTTATGGGACAGTGTTTCCATGTAAGCATAGAGATATATGAGATCCTTGGACTGAATTTGCTACGATGTCCAATCAAGGGCATTAAATGTTTATAGCTGTGGCCAATTAAAGATAGAAACATTAGACAATGCATAAATCTATTAGCAACTTTTCCTAACAGTTTTAAATACTGTGCACTATCCTTGTCTGCATACACTGAGAGCTTTTATAATCCCTACAAAAGTGAAATTATATTCCAAATATGAAATTTAATGGGCTTAAGCTAAACCAGAACTGCCCAGATGATGTCACGGGAACTCTTGGAGATGTCAGCAGCTGTTCAGAATCAGTTCCTAGCAGCTGTCATTTCTTTTCCCACCGCTTCGTCCATTCAGGATATAATTCTGTCAAAGCAAATTGGCACAGAACTCTCTTGATGGGAAAAACCCACACACGACATAAATGTCTTTGATAAACTGTATGGAGACTGGCCTCTAGGGTTCCCTGCGCTGAATGTCCTGAGAACGGGCAACGCCAGCTCATTAACTGGTAGTCTGTCCCGCTCCCAGGCGAACAGTACCCCTTCCCGGCGCCTTTATGCTCCCACTTGCCCTGGTGTGATTGCCGGAGCATTCACCAGTGACACACTCCAGTCCTGCCCTCCGGTCCATTCACCAGTGACTCGCTCCAGTCCACCCCGTCCCTCTGGTCCATTCACCAGTGACTCGCTCCAGTCCCTCCTGCCCCTACAGTTGTCTTTGGGACACAGCACTGTTTTCACTGTCCTTCCAACCACCTGCCCATCATTTCAGAGTACATCCTCTCCTACGCCCCTGCGCTCAAGCCCTTCGGAGCCAAGTCCCTCAGCTTCCCCGGAGAGACCAGCTCTGCCCTGGTGGACGGGCTGCAGCCCGGGGAGCGCTATCTGTTCAAAATCCGGGCGGCCAACAGGAGGGGAGCGGGGCCACACTCCAAAGCCTTCGTCGTCGCCATGCCAACAAGTAAGTATTGCGGGTGGGACTCCCTCCTTCTGTTTCACGTGTTGCATCCTTTATGAACCATGGCTCTTGCTTGGGTTTTCACGATACTTTTCAGGCTGAGTTTGCGGTGACTTATAGAACATTTGACAGTCCCTTCCGAAAGCAGTCACCCCAAGGATAAGATGTTATTGATTGCTAATAACATTAGTCACTCCTACGCTATTACTCAGACATGCGAGTATGAGTTTTGTGATTAATCGTATATCACTGTGTAACTTGGGGGGATGGTGGCAGGGAAAGGACATTTTTACAAGTGTGCTGCGGCATGTCTAGTTGTCAGCGCCCTTCAATTTCCAAATAGCATTTGAAATGCGTAGCTTGTATTCCGTTCCCCGGGAGTGAGCGTGACTCAGAAGAACTTCACTACCTTGTCTATCTGATCGGGATCGGAACCAGCTAGTTAATGAAACCCAGACACGGACTGGGTCTGGATGGTGCCTCCTTCCCGCCTTCCCCATTCATACCCCATTGCTGTTCTCTCCTCCACGATGTGCTGTGAGGGTCCCCAGGGCACCCCAGAGTCACACCGTCTGTCTTGGGAGGAAATGAAATAGGTGTTTGCTCCCGGCTGCGTTCCCCTTTGCTATACAGGTTCCCGCCCCGACAGCACCCCTTTCCTCATTCCTCTGCTCTCAGGAAAGGGTAAGTCATAGGGTGCACCCAATGTTTTGCCCACCTCAGGAGTTTTTATTTTTGGCTTTATTTTGGAGTTACAAATGTATTTATTACTGAAGAGATTTTAATAGGGAAGGAGAAAGTAAGCAAGGACATGTTAGGGGGACAGGGAACTCTCTGTAATGCTCAAAATTTACAAATCTGTGGCTCACCCAAGTCACCTCCCAGGCCTGCAACACAGCCCCACGCCTTTGTGAGCAGAGACACTTTTTGTACCGGGCTCCGCTAAAGGCCTGGCCTGAGCTGTGGCGCGTTTGTCGTACACCGAGAATTCCTTTTATTACAACAGTCCGCTGTAAGGTCTTGCTCTGGCAAAACCACTGGATGACTTCAAAGTACTCATTTGGGAATTCCTTCAAGTACTGAGCTGGGACTGACCTAACTGCCTGCATAGAAATTCTCACTCGTGCTTAAAGCAAAGGGACTTTCAAAGCAATTGCTGTAATTGATAAAAGTGTCCGATGTCCCGAAGAATGAGACGTTGTCAGTTAAAACTTCCGACCTGGAATACCTCCCCTGCCACCTTTGATGCTCGCTTGGCATCCCAAAGCCTTGAATCTGGTCTCTGATGGCCAATCCTCTCGTCTGTTGCAGCCAGGCCCCGGGAGGACACGGACAGCTGGAAGCAGGAGACCTCGCGGCCGTCCCCTGCGCCCCGGACCGCGGCCCCCCACGGCCGGCAGGCCCCGAGCCCCCCGCACCTGAAGGACCTGAAGGACGGGCTCCTGGCCCCCGGCGGGCCGCCCCGGAAGCCCCCGGCGGCGGAGCTCCCGGACCCCCGAGGGGACCCCCGGACGCTGCCCTCCCAGCCCAGGCCGCCGGGCAGGCCCGTCCACCCCGGCCCGGCCGGACGGGCCCCGGGGAGGGTCCGAGCGCCGGCGCCGCCCCGACAGGACAACGACTCGCTGGACGGCGAGGAGGACGAGCCGGCGCCCGGCTCCCCGGACCTCAAGGCCGCCCCCGAGGCCCTGCGCCCCAAGAGCGCGGCCGCGCGGCCCGGCCCGTGGCCCCGGGCCCCCCAGGCCGCCAGGCCGGCGCTGCCCGCGCGGAGGGCGCCCCACGCGGAGGCGGGCGAGGACGCACCCCGCGGGGGGACCCCCCGGCCGCCGCCCCCCGAGCCCCGCGGCCGGACGGAGGGCCCCGCCGCCCCCGCCACCAGGGCCGCCCCGGCCTCTCCGCGCCCGGCGCCCCGGACGCAGGCCCCGCGGAGGGCGGACGGCCACGGCCACGGCCACGGCGCCGGGCGGCCGGCCGAGGCCACGGCGCAGACGCTGCGGGCGGTCCCGGGCCACGGCCCTGCGCCCCGAGGCCGGCCCTGGGCCCCCGGCAGGCACCCCGGCCGCTCGGGCGCGGGCCGCGGGCCCCGGGTGCAGCCGGCCAGCGCCGCCGCGCCCACCCGCGCCCCCGCGGGGCGCCCCGCTCCCGGCCGCGGCGCGGAGGACGAGCGGCCGCTCCCGGCCACGGCGGTGCGGGGCCACGTGCCCGCCGCCCGGCAGCCCGGGCACCCGCTGGCCGGGCCCCCCGAGGCCCCGCCCCGCCCCGGGGCCAGCGCCCCCCGGCGGCGGCCCGCGGCCCCCCGCTCGGACCCGGAGGCCCAGTCCCTCCCCGGGGGCGCCGGCGGCGACGCGGAGCCGCGGGCCCAGGACCGCCCGGCGGGGGCCCCGGCCCTGGCCGCCCGGGCCCCGCCGTCCGCCTCCGCATCGGCCGAGGACCAGGACGAGGACGAGGACTCGTGGCGTCTGAAGGGCGGGGAGGACCGGGACCCGCTGTCCTCGGCTCCCAGGCGGCCCCCCGCCCCCGGCCCCGCGGACAGGGCCGCCCCGCGGGGGGAGAGCCCGGTGCAGCGGCCTCCGGCCCCGGGCGGCCCCCGCGCCTCGCACCCGCCGCCCCGGCCCGCCACTCGCGCCCCGCCGGGCCCGGCGCCCACGCCCATGCTGTCCCTGCGCCAGCGCATGATGCGGGCGCGCTTCCGCAACCCGCTGTCCCGCGCGCCGCGGCCCTCCTCCAGGCCAGGTACCTTCCTCAGTTCCCCCTGCGCTCAGTCCCCCACCGTGTCCTCAGTTCCCCTCTGCCAGGCCCAGGCCCTCCTTCAGGCCAGGTACCTTCCTCAGTTCCCCCTGCGCTCAGTCCCCCACCGTGTCCTCAGTTCCCCTCTGCCAGGCCCAGGCCCTCCTTCAGGCCAGGTACCTTCCTCAGTTCCCCCCTGCGCTCAGTCCCCCACCGTGTCCTCAGTTCTCCCTCTGCCAGGCCCAAGCCCTCCTTCAGGCCAGGTACCTGTTCTCAGTTCTCCCCTGTTCTCAGTTCCTCACCGTGTCCTCAGTTCCCCCTCTGCCAGGCCCAGGCCCTCCTTCAGGCCAGGTACCTGTCTTCAGTTCCCCCCCTGTTCTCAGTCCCTCACCGTGTCATCAGTTCCCCCTCTGCCAGGGGCCAGGTACCTCCCCTCACCGTGTCCTCAGTTCCCCCTCTGCCCGGCCCAAGCCCCATCAGCCCTTTGCAGACAGAGCTGGGGGGTGCCCTCCTCTTGGCCTTCTCGGAGGGTCCGGGGTTTCCCTGGTTCCCAGACGGGGCTGCGGGGTCTGTGTGGCTGCCCCGGGCCAGACAGCCCGGAGGCCGAGCGGCTGTCCCGCAGTCCCGGCCGCGGCCCTGGCCCACTCGCCCTGACCCCGGTGGCACAGGCTCTGCACCGGGGAAGCACCACCCCAGGGCCGGTCCTGCACTGGGGCCGCTCTGAGCTGTTTCCGCCCCGGACGTAAGGGCTCGGTGAGAAAGGCACTTCCCATGGGCCTGGGTCGGGTTCTCGTTGGTTCTGCACACAAAGCTCTCAATGGGACGCTCAGCAAACTCAGATGTCCTGGCCATGAACTCCTCAGGGGCGAGAGTCTAGGTCAGTGGTCGGCAAACTCTTTAGTCAACAGAGCTGCAAACCGGGGCTCGCGAGCCGCAGTTTGCCGACCACTGGCTCAGACGTTGCACTCGGTGGGTGTTGTTTAAAACTGATAGGAAATTCTTGTTTAAGACAGTGGTCACCTAGAGCCGGAACAGGCGGGGTGTGACTTACACTGAGGACGAAGGCCCACGGCTGTGAGCTGGGACGGGAGTCTGGCTGACCCCAGGGCAGGACCTAACCAAAGCCTTCCCCGGGTCCGCAGCAGGCCAGGGGCCCCTGGCCCTCTCCTTGCCCGGAATCAGGGCCTGACAGAGCTGCCCTGAGTGAACTATTGGGATTTGTTCATCTAGACAAGGTATTGTTCGCTTAGCTCAGTGGTTGGCAAACTCATTCGTCAACAGAGCCAAATATTAACAGCACAACGATTGAAATTCCTTTTGAGAGCCAAATTTTTTAAACTTAAACTATCTAGGTAGGTACATTGTTATTAACTTAATCAGGGCACTCCTAAGCTGGCCTTTGCTAACAACGGCCTCAGTCTGACGGAGGCATGAGGCCGACCACTGGGTCAGCTCCATGGAAAGACGGAACACGTGCCGCCCACTGACGTCCAGTTCCGTTAAAGTGGGCTGTCTTAAGCCAGCCCGAGACCCCGGTAACACACACACTCACGTGCCCTCATACAGAGTCCTCAGTAAATGTTTAGTTTTCATTTACCGTTTGTGCAAGGAAATAAGTCTCTGACCTGCAAATTGTCAGGGAGCCCAAGCCCAAGCCCCGTGGTGGGGGCTGGACCACACAGTGCACAGCAGAGCCGAGGGGAACTGCGGCTGAGAAAGGGCAGGAGAGAGAGGAAGGGCAGGAGACAGGACTAGGTGGACACAGCAACTCCGAGGGCCGCTAGCAGGACCTTGAACTTCCTTCCTAGGTACTTCCCTAGCGGCCGGCAGAGCTCAGCAAGCCCGGTCAGCCCGGGCATTTGTACGTGGTGGTGGACGTGGGGACTGAGTCGGCCAGGACTAGTGCCGAGTAAACCTGCTGAGGAGAGCAGGACAGCAGCTAGACATTTAGAGACAGTTTTCTCCAACCCTCCCTCCCTCCAACTTCCACCTGGTTAAAACACAGCGACTGCGGCCTGGAATCCTCCTCTGGAGAGTTTGCTTATGTTCTACACTCCCGTTCCTCCAGCGCAGTCAGAAAGCCTGACTGGACTGTGCTCTGGACGTTGGTATTTGTCATGTGGAAGTCACAGCTTAGACGGTCATCATCTCATGGACATGAGCCCCTGTTGGTGTTCTGTTTGAAAGGATGTTACCGCTCATAGGTTGGCAGGAAGCCAGCTCTGTAGGCGTGTGGTGTTGACCAGGCTCTGTTGCTTGTTTCCGGGCAGGTTATAACGGCAGGCCCAGCACCAACGGCAGACCGAGCGGACAGAGAGTGATCAATGGCCCTCAAGGAACAAAGTGGGTAGGGTGAACTTCTTTACACGTCTTGGTGGTTCTCGTGCTGTTGGGAAGAGGAAGATGGTGGGCGTAGTGTGACAATAGTGAAGCAGTCTTTTCCTCTTGTTCTCTGGTTTTCACCACTCCTCTGTCAGAGCGAATAAGAGGAGGCCAGGGCACTCAGACAAAGGTCTGGCTAACCACAGCCGTGACAGGGAACTTGAGGCAGAGCCTCTCAAATTAACTTCTATTTTCCCAGTTTGTTTTTTGTTTTTTGTTTAGTTAAAAACACATGTTTTCTGCAAATTGTCTTAAACCCTTTGTCAAAAGGAGACAGAGTGAAAATAAGTGAACAAGCAAGAAAACCCTGAATCAAACAGGCAGTTTTTATCAGATCACCTTTTGGATCTTCCAATAATTGTTGTCTGTCTAAAATAACAAATAGGTGTCAGTGTTTTATATATGTTTAAGTTAAATGACTAACTTCTTAGGTTTAAGAAAAATGTTTACGGATTTTAGGTGGCTTGGGGGCAATGGGAAGAATACTTTATAATATTCAGAGATTTGAAATATTTTTTCAGAGCATCAAAAAAATAATCATGGTGGAATTCCCAGTCAACACTTCCCATTTATAGCAATAAGGTTTAGAAAAACATATTGGACTTCATGAAATGGTCAGTACAGGTTACTTAAAGATAGATCTTCTCATTTCTCAAAGGAACTGATATATATTCTAGGAAGAAATACATATTAAAGCAAATGTCATGTAAACAGTTTTGAATTGAACTGTATGGGTAGACTTCAAAAGTAGGGTCTGTACCCATGAGCCTTTGTATCACTGAGTCAGGATCCAACAAAGTGGCCTGCTGCCAGGGGCTGCTTCACTGGTCCGGTCATGCACGGTTGTGGTTCTCAAACTTGTGTCAGAATCCCTGGGGCTTTACCAAATATGGTCTCAGGTGTGGCCAGGTAATTTGCACATCTGATAAGTTCCCAGGTGATACTGAGCCTGCTGGCCTGGGATCATACTTTGAGAACCACTGGTGTGGAGCATAGAGATAGCAATATCTTTTGTTCAAACTTTACAATTCCTTAGGGCAGTTGTTGGCAAACCGGTTTGCCGCTCTGTTAACTAATGAGTTTGCCGACCACTGTCGTATACTACCCTTTTCCTCTTCGCACACAATATGCCACAGTTGCCTAATCCTCACAGCTTCCAACTACACAGTAACATTTAGTCTAGTCCAGCGGTTTGCCGACCACTACCTTAGGGTATTAGCCTTTTGCATACATATTATATTGGGCAATGTAATTCCAAATGAAGTTGTTTTTGTTATATAATAGTAACCTTGATTTTTCACATTAACAGTAAAGTAGAAGCATATCATGTTTTTAATATATTAGTAATGCATGTTCATTGCAAGAGGTCGAAACAATTCAGAAATACATGAAAAATATACTAAGCCATCCCACATCCCTTTTCAAGGATCATCACTGGGAGCGGTTGGGGATGTAGCCTTCCAGGTTATTTTTGCTGCAGTTTTAAGCTTATAGACACAAATGATTATATTTTTATTTTTGAAAAATCATCTCTGTAGTCTGAATTTGTATCAGGATATGCCAATATGTGTAGAAATTTTCAATCCTTTTCTCTGGCTGCATGGTCTTCCACGGTATGGATATGCCATAATGTCTAATGTCTGCCCCCCATCCGTGGGCACGTAGGTAGTTTCCTACTTTTCAGCAGCACATACATCGTACTCAATGGTAGTTGTACATGTTTTGTATATTCTAGAAACAAAGAAATTTACATGCTGCATGGGTAAGCAATTAGAATAGGAACTACAATTGTTTTACACTTTATTTTCACTCAACCTTATGAAGGATGCTGACAGAAATAATGTTTCCTACTCCCTTCAGTGTTTTCTTCTGTGGAAGCTTCATGCATGTACTCCTGCAGTCGATGACTGTGACTGTTTTGAATGTCCGTTATAGTCTTTACTCTGTGTCATGGGTTTAGGTGGTGGATCTTGATCGCGGGTTAGTATTGAATGCGGAAGGAAGGTACCTCCAAGATTCCCACGGCAATCCTCTTCGGGTTAAGCTAGGAGGAGACGGTCGGACCATTGTGGGTAAGTGAGAGTGGTGCTGAAGGAACAGTGTCCGGGCTTAGCTGTGGAATAACAATTCCTTTCCTCCTTGCCCTGCCTGTTAATGGCGCCCCTGGTCTAGTTACCTTTGGCCACGTGCCTTTCCTCGGAGATAGCTGTCAGCAACACTTCCAATGGAATCCGCCCTCTCAGAAAAGGTGGCACTCCCCTTTGTCCTGGAAATTGGCAGCCAACTCCGACCCACTGGCCAAACCCTGCCTGCTGCCTGTTTTGGTATGGCCTGTGAGCTCAGGAGAGTTTTCACATTTTCAAATGATTGCAAAAATAATCGAAGGAAGATAATATTTGTGACGTGGAAATTAAATGACATCCACATTTCAGTGTTCACGTCCAGGGGCTCATGGGACATAGGAGCACTCGTCTGTGCGCCCCTGTGGCCTTTGTCCCCGGCAGGGCAGAGCTGAGGGGTCACAGCAGGCGGAGTCTGGCCCATAAACTTGAGGTGCTTCCTCTGTGGTTGTGACAGAAAGCTTTGCACCCGGGTCCCAGGAGCACTTCCTCCTCGGGCGGGGGCTGAGCGGGGAGAGGACCCTCTCCTGAGTGAAGACTGAGCGTTGATGGGGGCCGGGCAGGCGGATGACTGTTACTAATTCAGATGCAGCAGCTGAGTGATGGGCAGGATGGGAGCCCGGGGTGTCTGGGTAGCAGCAGGCATTTCTGCCTCAGAGAACAGACTTCCAATGACCCTACCTCTGCCTTTTTACTGATTAAAATACCAGAATAACAAGCGTTCTGTTTCCCTGATTGCGTCCCCTGGTTGCACAGACTGTATCTGATCTTGTTTCAGATCTGGGAGGGACCCCCGTGGTGAGCCCTGACGGGCTCCCCCTCTTCGGGCAGGGGCGACATGGCAAACCCCTGGCCAGTGCCCAGGACAAGCCCGTTTTGAGTCTTGGAGGGAAGCCTCTGGTGGGCTTGGAGGTCGTCAAAACAACCACCCGGGCACCCACCACCACCACCACCACCACCACCACCACCACCACCAGCACCACTACCACCGAGAGACCCACCAGTACCCCTCGGCCCACCACGGCAACCCCGCGGCCCAGGACCACCACTCGCCGCACCGCCACCACCACCCGCCGCACCACCACCCGGCGCCCAACCACCACCATCCAGACCACCACCACCCCCGAGCCCACCACGCCCGTGCCCACCTGTCCCCCTGGGACCCTGGAGCGGCACGACGAAGACGGCAACCTGATCATGGGCTCCCGTGGGGCCCCGGAGTGCGCCCCTGAGGAAGGTAACCGTCTCCATCTAGCGCGGCCCACACCGCTGCCTCGCTGCCTGCCGGCGGAGGGCCCACGGGCTGCAGCGGGGAGGCAGGGGTCCGGGGGGACGGAAGCTAGGGTGTCTCTGATCCCACACGGTTTGTTCCGCAGCTCGGTGCCACAGCCAGGGCTGTCAAATTTAGCAAACAAAGGCATTGCACAGGGCAGGCTCACAATATAAATTACTCATTATTTACCTAAAATTGAAGTGTAACTGGGCTTCCTGGGTTTTACCCGGCAGCCCTTTCCACAGCCCAAGTCAAAAAATTAGCTAGAACCCGGGGCTTTCTTAGTTTGGACTGGCATTTCCAAAGTGTGTCCCCTGCGTATCAGTAGGTTAGTATTTGTTAGAAAGATGAATGGATGGATGGATGGATGGATGGATGGATGGATGGATGGCACAGGTAGGTAGAGCTCGGAGCCTGTATGCATGTGGTCCTGTGATTACTGTGTGATTTAACCAAGGAGAAATGACTGTCTTACTGTGGGGCCACTCAGACTGTGTTCCAGTCTCCCGTGCGTTTCCGGGGAAGTTGTTCCCCAGCACGTTTGGAGGGGACACTGATCAGCAGGAGGGGCTTCCCCTGGGGGAGGGGGTGACACCAGCTCCCTGCTTTGCGACACCCACTCAGGCCATCCCCTGCCCGTGCGTGACTTCCTCCTGACAACAGACCCAGGACCGCGGGTCAGGGCGCGTGGAGTAAGGTCCTTTGGATGCTGAGATGCTTTGGATGTGGTCACCATGCGTGTGTGTGTGTGCGCGCGCACACACACACACACACACACACACACACACACACCCTTTTTGCTTGCTCTGACTTTAGATGCTAAAGTCCTTGCAGTAGAGAGTGCCTTCTTCACGGCCCCTGATCCTTCATCTTCGGTATCTAAACACCTAGAGTGACAGGCGTCCTGTTTCCACCTGCGGAGGAAGGGCCTTGGCTTCAGGTTCCCGCTCTGCAGCGGGTCTGGTGAAGTCATGTGTTTGGAAATGGGAGGCGCCAGCTGAGCATCCTTGACCATTTCTGGGGCCCGTTTCAGAAACTGGCCCCACTTACCATGGCTCCCTCCCAAGACGGAAAAGACAAAGAGGATAACAAAAAACACTGGGCTGGACCAACCAACCATACACTTGGCACATGTCCTCGCCTTCAAATGACTGTATTCACCTCCTCTCTGAACTTCTACTGGGAATGGTTTTGTAGTTTTCAAACGTATCTCTGGAGCTAAGGCCCTCGTTCTTTGGAGATACTTTGCACTCATCTTTTATGGCCATTTTGAATAAACCACTCAAGAGAATAAACGGCCCACCATGGTTGGTGGCTGGCAGTTACTTTTATATGAAGAAGTGGAAGCTTTTGACATTGATGCAGGGTTGACACTTACAACATGCACTCTGACGTATGTTCCAGGTGATTGGGGCGAATTCTGATGGTCAGCTTAAACACACACTTCATTCCCCCCAGGGAAGTAACTTTTACTTGGAATCAATATGGTGCTCTTTTGGAAAAATCAGCCTGACTTTGTTTTTAAAGAAGGAGCACTGCATGACTCAACATGATGATTACTTTTGCCTGAAGAGGTGACCCCACCGTTTCTGTGACCCGCTGCTGGGCTCTGGGGTACTTCAGCGCCTCCAGGAATCGTACTTCACCCTGGGAATCCACGGAGGAAACCCACACTTTTCCCTCTCCTTGTTCACTCTGAGATGCAAAAATTACATGATTTATTCATTTCTGACCTGGCCAAAAATAACAGTAAAAAGAACGGGTCTGAACCCATAATGAGGACAAACAAGACTTAACTGTTCTTAGCAGTTAAGTGGACGCGGGAGAGAGAGGCGCGTTCCTGGAAACAATGGCAGGATGGCCTCCGGCGCTCGGCGCCCTGAACTTGAAAACGGCTCCACTTGACCCAGCCCAGGAGTAACTCCTCTTGGATCCAGGCATATTGACATTGGAATGACCGAAGGGAAACCATGTCTAATGGTTTTTCGTGAAACGACCATCGGGAGCCCTGAGGGCGGGTCATTGGCTTCTCTCTGGTGGACACCCATGGCCCCATCAGAGCAGGCCCAGTGCTGGCAGCGAGCGGGTGAAGTGGGTGCTGGGCGTCCCCAGGCCCCGGTGTCTTCGGGCCTGGCACTGTGTTCCTCGGAAGGGCCGGCGGCCAAGGTCCCCCGCTGGTGGTTTGTTTTGGCGCCATGGCGTTCATGACATTATCCAAACGAGCCTCAAAGTAGGCCAGTGGAGGACTGGTGGAGTCCTGGGGAATGATCACTGATTTTCTAACAATGAAAAATGCAAACTGGTGTCTGTAATTTCTTAGGGGAGGGGTTCACACACTTTCTACTCAGTTGCACCTTTATTAAGCCGTGGGATGGTGATTCTCATAGAGCAGCTTAAGCAAATGTTCATTGCTTAGCTGAACATTTAAAAAGCGGAGACGGTTTATGAAGGATAAGTATACAGTCTTTGGAGCCAGAGGGTTTGAAGTTCAAATTCAGTTTTAGCTCTGCCTTCGCCAGCTGTGGGACCCCAGGCACACCGTAAATTCTTGGTGTCCGTGGTGCCAAGTGGGTAAAAGTCCTAGTGTGTATCTTCTGAGCAAGCGCAGGAGGCCCTGACTCTGGACCGGCCATGGGGGTGGGTGATCGGGAGTGGAAGGGAGAACCTTTGAGCCTGGGCCAGCATCCTGAGCCCTCTCCCTCCCTCTTCTCCAGAGGATTTCTCCGGATTGGACACAGCCCCACCCACGGAGGAGGCCTATCTTGTCTACGATGAAGGTACTCACTGGTTGTAAGCACTTTGCTTGGGTAATTCCTTTCCTGGTGGGAGGGCCTTCTTCTAACCACTAAGTAGATGCTCTGAATTGCAGTTTCCTTCAGAACTCAGGGGAGGCGGCCAGGTTAAGGAAGGTGGCTGTACCCCGCAGTGCTGAGTGACCCCCAGTACATGTTTACTCAGAGAAAAAGTGTGCTTGATTGAAAATACAGCTTCCAAACCAGCGCCCTCTGCCCCCCTCCTCTCCCTCCAGCTCCTCCCTCCTCCAGGAATTCTGGAGCGGCCGGTCTGAGCCTCCCCTTCTCCGCTCTTCGTAAACCTGACCGATCATCTCCGCTTCCTCTCTGGCTCTTCACCTTCTTCCCTTTCCTCTCCTTTTCTAGTTCCACTACAAGTGCAATGCTATGGATGTGTTGCTTTTTTAAATCACAGAATCTTTTCAAGTAAGGGCAGGCCTAAGACACACAATGCCTTGGGAAGCCTCTGAGGTGGAAGTGGGATTAATTTCTCGATGGATGGGAACAGAGTGCTGTTCTGCTTACGCCCCTGCGACTCTGTGCTCTTTACGCTGCTCTGCAGCCGGAGAAAATCATGTCGGCATCCTGACCCCACCCTGGTGCCAGCCTTTGACTCGCAGAGGTCCTCGCTCTTGCCCTTCACCTTGCCTGCTATTAGCCATCGCTTCGCTGGTCTGAAATCACAGATGTGGGAGCAGTGTCCCCTCTGCTGCAGTCATGAGACAGTTGCATGCGGCGGTTGAATCTTGCAAACAAGAATGAACTTAACACATCAGACGTCGGTGTCAGAAGGCAGAGGACGGTTTTTGGAGCCTTTGTAGACCCTGTGCAGCTTCCATTGCCTCTGAGCAGCTGGAAAGGGGAGTTTTAGTTTCTTCTTTAAACGTGAAAAGATCATTTCTCTTTGTGGAATTGATCCCACTTCCACCTCAGAAAAAAGCCAAAAATGAGAAATGGGGAAAAAACCACCAAGTTTATTGTGTGATGGGAATCTGATGCTCCAGAAGGGGAACTCATTTAGGTAGAGATTGGCCTGAGACAAGGACCAGGGCCGTGCTAAACCGGGTGAGTTCTGAGGCTCTCTCCAGCTTTGATTCAAAAACTTCATTTTTTCTGGTCATCTGTGGTTCTTTTTTCTCATCCTCTCTTCTCTCTGCAGCTGCTTTCTGAGGGGACTGACATGGGGGGAGGAAATGCTGTTTTATTAGGAACAAATTATGTCTGGGCCCGGCATTGATCGTGGGGCTCGCACGATTTTAGGAAGGTCTCTCTGACTGCAGACGCGCCCCTCGGCAGGGTGCCCAGTCACACAGACAGCCTCATCCCGTTTCAGATTATGAACTTGAGACCTCGAGGCCACCGGCCTCCACCAGGCCCTTCCACGCAGCCACCACGCCCGCCATTGTCCCTACGGAAGGCACCATCAGCTCCTTTCCCGAGGAAGAGTTTGACCTGGCCGGGAAGAAACGATTTGTTGGTAAGTAGAAGTTCCTTCACCTGAGACACGGGGTGTTAGCGTGTGCCTCCGAAGACGAGCACAGCCAACCCCCTGGCCAATCCCCTGGCCTGGCCCAGGAGGCCCGTTTGGAGCAGAAGCTTGCCCAGAGAGAAGTTCCATTTGGGGTGGTCAGTGAGGCACCCTGTTGAGACCACAGGGCCTCTCTGCAGACAGCAGGAGAGGGGCGCATGCGGGGACAGACACTTGGAATTGGACGGAGTAGAGACGGCTGCTTTGTGTGGCCTGAGAGTGAGGGACACGGAGGGAGCATCAGGTCAGGGACAGAGTGTTTTGTCGTGGCCGATGTCTGAGACAAGACCTCCCGGGGCTTCGCCTGCACATTCCTCTCCGGAGATGAGCGCTGCCTGATGGATGGCACCGCAGAGCCAGCGCCGGCTCTGAGTCACTGCCTCTCTCTGCGTTAGCCTCCCGGCCTGGGGACCCATGAATTTCTCGTGCTTTTTGGCAGCCACGGAGACAGTTTCGAGAGGAAAGTGTTTTGCTAACCCGTGTTTCCCTCCCTCTGCGAGTCTTCTTTTCCCACGTCCTTAACGAACTTCTCTAACGAGGCACTTAGATGCATGTCTGACTAAGTGGGAAAACACAATATATGACTAAGTAGACTGGCAACGGCTTAAACTAATCTCACACTTTTTTGTTTCCAAAACAAATGTTCTGCTATAAGCAGAGAACAGCTCCTGCCAGCCAAGATGTAGTGCTGAGTGTCTCCACGACATGCACTTGAGGAAAGAGAGCGCTTAACGTGAGGCGGCCTTCCTGCGGGAAACGCCAGTGCTGGCCGTGGCATTGGGCAGCCTGCCGGAGTCACCAAATCGGACTCTCTCTAGCTGCACGCCAGACTCGGAACGCCTGTCAGCACTGCTATCAGCTGCCCAGAGAGCTCTGCTGAAGACAGCGAGGCTGCCATTGTCTGGCTAAGTCCATGTGTCTGTAATCTATACAGCATAGATTACTCTCCAAACTTCCAGGCGAGATCCATGGACAAGCCCTAGAGGCCCAATTTTATACAAATTATTGGAAAATAGAGGAGCTAAAAATTGCTTTTGGTTGTAATGGCCACTGAGAATGAGAACTGGCACCAAAAGATGCAGTGGGACACTTAGAAACTACTAGAGCTCTGGCCGGGTTTGCTCAGTGGGTAGTGTTGGCCCTTGGACTGAAGGGTTTTGAGTTTGGTACTGGTCCCGCGCACATGCTTCTGATACAGGCTTGATTCCCTGGCCCTGGATGGGTGCATGTGGGAAGCAACCAATTGATGTGGCTCTCTCATGTAGATGTTTCTCTCTGTCTCGCCCCCTCCCTTCCACTCTCTTTAAAAAATCAATGGAAAAACATACTCGAGTGAGGATGAACAAGAGAAAAAGTACTGCCAGTAGAATGAGAGCACTCTGGAGCCTTGTGTATAAAGCCTAACCCTGTTTCCCTGGCATTTCCAACTTCTTACAGAGCGTGCGTCTCAAAAAGCTGTGGACTGTAGGCAGAGCCTCCTGTTGGACCCTTCTTTCCTGTTCCCCAGTCCCCCAGTGTCAACAGACTTAGCAGGGCATGGGACATGAGTTCAAGTCCTGCCTTTTTCCTGAAGCCCTGATACCCACTGGGATGTGTGTAGAAAAAGCTCGAACCTGTTCATACATGTGGATAGCTATTGTGCTGAGCGGAGTGTTGTAGAAGGCTGTTGAGGCCTGGCTTTGGCAGACATTCCAGATGGGTATGGGGATCATGGAAGCCCCAGGGAAGGCCTCCCAAGACTATGATAGAGGTTGTATATCTTGATCAGTGTATGTTACTTTCTGGTCCCAAGACTGTCCAGGGAATGAATTTTGTTATGGGCCTGATTCACACTTTTCCAAATGTTTGGGCATAGTCATGGTGAAATGCTGCAGCTCTAACTTATGTTAATGAATTGCCATTTGGGGATCTTTCAAAGTAGCTGAGGCCATAGTTATCAATGTTCATGGGACAATAGCATCTTTTGAAATCATGAGATTAATACATATAAATGGGTGGATCCATTAAGGAGAGCGAGGGGTGTGCTTCTGGGTTTGGGATCAGGGCCGATGACCTTGGAACCTCTGTCTAGCAGGGAGACTGAATGATTGGTCTGTTCCATGGAGCAGACCCTAGGTTTCTGCCTCCAGAGAAAGCCTCCAGCGATCTGATTGGTACCTGTGTTCTCCCACAGCTCCTTATGTGACGTATCTAAATAAAGACCCAGCAGCCCCTTGCTCTCTCACCGATGCTCTGGATCACTTCCAAGTGGAGAGCCTGGATGAAATCATTCCGACGGACATGAGGAAGAATGACCTGCCTCCTCAGCACGCGCCCCGCAATATCACCGTTGTTGCCATGGAAGGCTGCCACTCCTTTGTCATTGTGGACTGGGACAAAGCCACCCCGGGAGATGTGGTAACAGGTGTGTCCAAGGCAGATGTTCAGAGTTCCCATCAACATGTAGGTGGGACACAGAGATAATAATGGATGAACAGATGAGGATGAGTATATGGATGGATGGATGGATGGATGGATGGATGGATGGATGGGATAGATAGTTGGATGGATGGATAGATAGATGGATACATGGGTGGACTGGGTGAATGGATGAGTAGGTGCTTGGGTGGACTGGATGGATAAATGCAGATGCCTTCTTTCAAAAGGATGAAATATAGGCAAATCAGGAAGCCCTGTAGGGAAGTATGAAGAGCACTAGATGGAAGCCGGAAGTCCAGAATTCTAGTCCAAGATAGATTTGCATGACCTTGAGCTTCCTACTTCATCTCTCTGGACGTTTGTTTCCTCTTCTGCAAAATGTTGTTACATCTTTTGCATTCTTAATCCTGCACAATGGCCAGCGAGACCTGTAGCCACTTGTAGGATTCGATCCTGCAGTAGGTTGGGTGAAGAGCTCCTACCTTGTGACTCTGCCTCTTCCATCTTTCCACGCCTGCTGGGCGCTTCCTGATCAGTCGTGGTGCTTCTGAATTCCTTATGTGGGAATTGGATGCAATGGAAAAAGGCCCAGGTATCCTGAGTCTCTTAGATCCTTGGCCTGTGAGATGATCATGAATTCATCTGCATCTGCCAAGGGTATATTTGAGGATAAATACATTGAAATAAGTTTTTACAGAAGAGAATTACTATTTTCTTTAAAGAGACCCTTCCTTTGTGAATGGTTTATTCTGAGCCTGCAGATTGTATAAGAGGAAGGGATGTGTGTGCGCGCGTGTGTCCGGGCAGGTGGGTGATGGTGGTATAAGTCAAAGCTTGACATTATCTGTCACTGTTATGCTAATGTAGTTCATCAAAGTCAAAACTTCTAGTACTTTTGCTTAATGTCCCTAATACTATCTCTTAAAATGAGAAAAAAATATTTAAGATCATCCAAAAAGCAACTTTTCTCATGGAGTTTGCACAGTAGCACAAAAGCCAGGATAAGGGACACAGGAAGGAATGGCCCAGGAACCGTGCCAGGTGAGGTTGCAGGGCCCAGAGGAGCCATGATGGTGCATGGTCAAGGGGTCTGAGTCTCAGGTGTAACTAACCGTGGAGTGTAATGTTGGGACGATGTTCTCTTTATTTCTAGTTGATCTAGTTGATTTCTCATAGGTCTCGTTTATTTTATCGGAACCCTACACGCAGCGAGCCCTGTGTGGACCGTCTCCCGCAGAGCGGCCTCCGCACTGTGGCCTCACCCCTCCTCCACAGGGCACCGCTTCCGGGTCGCGTGTTCCCTCGTGCTCATGTGTTCTTCCTTCTCCCCCCAGGCTACTTGGTTTACAGCGCGTCCTACGAGGACTTCATCCGGAACAAGTGGTCCACGCAGGCTGCCACCGTCACGCACCTGCCCATCGAGAACCTGAAGCCGAACACCAGGTAGGGCGGCCGCCACGGAGAACCAGTGAGACCCGGGGCGCAGCGACAGGTGACCCTGGGCTTAAGAGGAGAAGCTCCGTCGGAGTGTTTTCAGGATTCCCTTTGCGACCTGTTTAGCGCTCACATAATATCCGTGAACCCTCACACAGGTCATGGGGTTTTCCTGGAAGAAGTCACTGTGTGTACTGGAATTGTTAGTCTGTCGTGCTGGCATTTTGTTCCCTGGTTTCCAGAGACTCAGCACTGCCCGCCACGGGGTCAGAAAAAATTGTTCTGCTTGAGAAGGAACTAATCCTTTTGTCGTCGCCGGTGTGGTGGCGTTAGATGGCCACACCCTCCACGGGTGACACTGGTGGAGCAGCAGTTGCTAAGCATTTTAATTCACAGGCACTCAGCGATGGCCTCTGTGCGCCTGACAATGAGTGCTGGAACTGAAGTGGGACTCCTCTGGTCAGAGGCATGGGGACAGGCTCGCCAGGAACTCTCCAGAGCGGTGGAGAGCCACACGGGCAGGACGTGCCCCTGAGAGGAGGGCCCGCGGGAGGGACACAGAGTCACAAAGGTGGAGGTGGAGTGGGTATCGTCTTGGCAGCCACCGCTTTTGTCCCGTGGCTCCCAGCAGAGCAAAGCAAGGTGTCCCGGACTCCCACCCCCGGGGCCCAGCAGCCTCCCTCCAGGGACGAGTCCATTCAGACGTGTTCTTGCTGCCCGTTCTCTGTTCCAAGAGCGAGGAGAAGCCCGGAGAAGCTCTCGGGCCTGCTGCACACCCCTTCCTGGTGGCTTCTCTCTCCTGGGGGCGCAGAAGCCCAAACTCTTCCAAGGCTTCGGGCCAACCACAGCACTTGTCATGCAACCAAAACACACCGGTTCCCCGAGGACCCAGCCTCTGGACCAGTTCTCCCCCTCTGCCACGGTCACTGCGGGTCACACAGCCTGCTCTTCCAGCCGCGCCCTCCCCCTCCAGCCAGGCCAGCCGGGCCAGCCGGGCCAGAGCAGGATGAGAGGAGGGTCCACGGCAGAGGCACTGGGTGCCCAGGGACACACTCTCAGTGCCGCCCCGTCTGCTCCCATTAGCCACAGGTCTATGCTGTTCATTGTATTATTTTGGAAAGTTATTAGGAAATGAGAAAGTTCAGAGAACTGTGAAGAAATAGCAGGGATGTGTGCATTAGTGAAAAAAAATAAAATAAAAAAGGACTCAAAGTCTGCACCAGAGTAAGTAGTTGGGAAGTCTGTCTTATTACAGAACTCAAACAAGCGTCTCTCTCAGAAAGCGTTTTCTTCCAATTCCAGGTATTATTTTAAAGTTCAGGCCAAGAACCCTCAGGGCTATGGACCCATCAGCCCGTCGGTCTCGTTTGTCACGGAGTCAGGTACAGCTGCCTTCACTTCTCATGTCTCCCTTTTCTCAAAAACAAATAACTTGGATTAATGACTGTAATAGAACAAAAACTGGAAAATTAGAATCCTGACTTTTCCATTTAATGAATTCATATTGGCTGTTGCTTTATTAAATAAACACTACTTTCTGCTAGTTTAAAACTTGGACAATAATAGTCAAAGTAGACTTTTTTGGAACTGCCTGGGAAATGGAAAGGTCAGATTCCAGTGGAAGGGTGGGGGGACCTAATTTTCAGCCATGCAGGAAAGAGAATCTGAATCTCTGCGAAAGCTTTCATTGCAGAGGAAATTTTCCATTGCAAACAGCTGAAAAGCATAACTGGCCTGAGGCCCAGAGGAAGCTGCTTCCAACAATGAGTGACATTTCTAAGATGCTTATTTGTTTAAGATTTTTCTTTTCTTCTTAAAAAATATATTGATTTCAGAGAGAAAGGGAGATGAATAAAGAGCTAGAAACATCAATGATGAGAGGGAATCATTGATTGGCTGCCTCCTGCACGCCCCCTAATGGGGTTCCAGCCCACAACCCCGGCCTGTACCCTTGACCAGAATTGACCGGGACCCTTCAGTCCACAGGTCAATACTCCATCCACTGAGCCAAACCAGCCAAGACGAAGATGCTTTTTTAAACCAGGAAGTGAAGATGACTTTACCTGACGTGGAGAGTTTAATTAAAATACTATTTAGATCCTGCCCGGGTAGCTCAGTTGCCTAGAGCAGTGGTCGGCAAACCGCAGCTTGTGAGTCACGTGGCTCACGAGCCGAGGTTTGCCACTCTGTTGGTTAATGAGATTGCCGACCACTGGCTTAGAGCATCGTCCTGATACACCAAGGTTGCAGGTTCAATCCCCAGTCAGGGCACATGCAAGAATCAACTGTGATTTCATAAATAAGGGAAACACCAAATAGATCTCACCCTCTCTTTCTCAAATAAGTAAAATACTGCTCAGCCTTACAAGCAGCATCACTCAGAATGTCCCTGTGTCAGGAGTGCCGGTGTGCAGAGCTCTGAGGCCCTTCGATTAAATGTGCCCATGTTCATGGTCTATAGTGCACAGAGCCGCCCCTGGAGACAGTTCCTGGGTCGCAGCCTCTCGGTGAGGGAAGCCACGCTGGCGGCTGGGACCTGAGGCCACCTTCAGAAGCTCAGTCTGCCAGCTGCACACCGAAGTAGCAGCTTGAGCTATTTGGTTCTATTCTTTCCTACATGTAGCTTATCCCAGAACATAGGTCATTGGAAGATATTTTTTATATGTAATGACTTGAAATCTACTACATCAAAATATGGGGAAGAAAATGAAGTCTTTGTGAGAACATGCTCTATTCTGGAAATGTAGGCAAAGGACTCAACAGCACTTTCACCTATTTCATCTAAGAAGTGTGTTTCTCATTAGTAATTGAGAAGGAGTAAGAGGAAGTCAGTATCAGAGGTTAAGGTGCTAATATAGGCAATGTGTCTATGTGTATGGCTGCATTTCCTACAAAGAAAATGGACTTTTGGCAATTTTCAGAATCAACATGATAAAAAACAAAATTATTCACATTTAAGCATCTATCAGAACCTGAGGTCTGAAGTCTGCATAAGAAGGTACACATGTAGCTCATTCTCGTTTATTCCTCAGCAGCATTCCTTGCACTGCGGCTGCACCAGTGAGTTTCTCTACTCACCTGCTGGTAGACATTGGGCTGTTTCTAAGTTACATCTCTAAAATGCTTATTTAAAAGTTTTCTTTTCTTTTCAAAAAATGTATTGATTTAAGAGAGGAAGGGAGAGAAATAAAGAGATAGAAACATCAATGATGAGAGGGAATCATTGATTGGCTGACTCCTGCACGCCCCCTAATAGGATTCAAGCCTACAACCCAGGCATGTGCCCTTGACTAGAATTGACAGGACCCTTCAGTCCACAGGTTAACACTCTATCCACTGAGCAAAACCAGCTATGAAAAGTAAAGCTGCTGTGAGCATTCATAAGTGTTTGCCGGGACATGTTTTAATTTCTCTTGGATAAATTCTCAAGGCCACAAAGGATGGATTGTACAGTAGATGCATCTTTACCTTTTTAAGAAACCACCAAACTGTTTTCCCAAGATGGACACGTTTTAAAACATAATGAGTATTTCATTATTTTGTGGTACCCAGTGTCAAAGTATTATCTTCAGAGATCCACAACTTCTATAAAAATCAAATGAAGTATTTCTCAAAAGAAAGTGCTCAGAAAATAAAAACTAACAAAAAAAGGTTGGCCTCTGACAAATAAACCATATATTTTTTCTTTGGGTTAGCCATCTTGGTTATAATAAACATTTAAGTATTCTCATTGTGAAATGTGATAATGAAGTCCTTTTTTTTCTTTCTTTCTACAGACAACCCTCTGCTTGTTGTGAGGCCACCGGGTAAGTCTGTCTTCTTGATAAACTTCACAGTTTAGTGATCACGTTGAATATTGATGATGAGATTATTACAATTACAAGTGCTGGACTATTTTTTGCATTTTTATAATATTATGACAACATCGGTGGTTTCTTTGCTCCCTTCATCCTAATCCAGGGAAAAGTGATCTGGGAATTTTTTTAATAGCAACCAATATCTACAAAAACCCATTATGGGTGGCCAGTATCTCTGAGAATAGATATGTTTATTTTCATTCAACCCCCTTTGAATATTTTGAATTGCTGAAAAGGTAGCAAAATGAATTAGCGTGTAACGAACTTTACTTTGTTTTTAAATAACCTGAGAGAGCCCTATTGCTCATGTTTAGGGCGGTCTAGTGAATGACAAGAACAGTAGGGTCTCTGCAGAGGGGCCTGGTGGGAATGGGATGGCATGCCTTGCAAGATCAACTTTGCCTCCACAGCTTATTTCCCTGGAGGCCTAATGCCTTTTCCTTGCTCTGAGAATCTCTTAACCTTGTTCAAGTAAACGGATCTCCACACGGTGTGTCAGTCCTAAGAAGGCAAAGGAAGGAGGATGAGGATGCCCAGTGGGAGGTGGGAAAGCTTTGCTCAGAGAAGCCCTGAGGAAACGAGGCCCAGCAGATAGGTCGGGCCTCTAGTGCTCGGTGCAGGAATAAACAGGGCACGCCGGGCCCCGTGTGTTTTGTTGTCCAGGCGGGGAGCCCATCTGGATCCCGTTTGCTTTCAAACACAATCCCGACTACACGGACTGCCACGGCCGGCAGTATGTGAAGCGGACGTGGTACCGGAAGTTTGTGGGCGTCATCCTCTGCAACTCGCTGCGGTACAAGATCTACCTCAGTGACAACCTCAGAGGTGGGTCTTGGCGGCCGGCGGGCTGGGGGAGGGCGGGAAAACTTTTTATTTTATGAGCTGCCCACTTGACATAGCAGGTGTGTGAGGACAGATTTAGGTTTAGCTCAAATACAAACCAGCGTGGCAGGCTCTGTTTTAGAGTGATTAGTTCGACACTGGCACCCAGAAAAATACAGATTTTAAGTCTACCTTTTAGAAATGAAGTCCAAAACTCTGACATAAATTTAAAAGCCAGTGTCTGCTGTTAACTCAGTGACAGGTATGAGTATGAGCTGGAAGTGTTGAGTACACTCCCTTCACTTCCTGCTACTGGCACAACTTTACAGAGAAAAAGACATAGATGGGGGGGCAATGTTAAAATATGTACACAGACAATAATTTAATTAAAAAAATTGTAAAAAAAATAATAAAATATACATCATCAGTACCATTTGTTCGCTGTCCAAATAAAAACTACATTGTCTTTATTGTGGGTGGGGATTAAAACAAAGGATAATAAACACACTTTGACCTACAAACATTTCAAAATGCCATTTTGTCCCAGCTGGCTTTGCCTCATTCACCTATGCAAATTTGTTTTTATTTACTTTTTTGTTTTGAGTTTTTCCCTTATTTTTATTGTTGACACTATTACAAATGTCCCCTTCCCCACCCTTTCCTGCCTCCACCCAGACCCCAATTTCTTTTATTTCAAAATTTGCACAGATTTTAGTAAAAACATTTTTCATTTTTTTCTCATCTGGTCTATATTTTATTATGGTTTTTGGTTGTTTTTTTCTTGCTAATGGTATCGTTTCAAGATAATGTTAAAACAAAATCTCCCTTACAACCCTCCACTCTGGCAGTTCCTCAGTATATATGCCTCTCCCAAAGCTCACCGTCTGTGTCTCTCTCCCTTCTCCTCCTGTGACTCGATTCCTGGGAGAGGTGCATAGCCTTCAGCATCCCAAGGCCGAGAACAACTTTGTCCTACTGTGCAGCTGTGTTTCAGCACCACGGACAGTGCCTCCGGCCGCTGACGCACACTCTAGTAATACATGACAACAGGTTCATCTCTCTGTATAGATCTTTGTGCCTTTCACCATGCAGCCTCTATAATTTCATCTGTCCTTTTTTTAAAAGACCAAGAATTAAAAAGTATACAATTATAGCCTGAGACTGCCCGTAGTATTAATAGTTTCCATTTAGTGAACACTTACGTATTTAACATACATGATCTCTGAACATCTATGGGTTGGCGCCATTATCACCAAGTTTCGAACTCAGAAAGTATGACACACAGATTTCAGTAATGTATCCACGTCAAATAGTCTCCAAAGCTCGTGCAGACTCCTAAACGAGCTGAGGCACTTCCTGAACCGTCACTGACTTATCTTATTCCTCCATCAAGACACATTCTACAGCATCGGAGACAGCTGGGGCAGAGGTGAAGACCATTGCCAATTTGTGGATTCACACCTGGATGGAAGAACGGGGCCCCAGTCCTACATAGAGGCCCTCCCCAGCATTCAAGGTAATGAGAACACACACCTGGCATATCCCACTGGGGATATGAGAGAGGAGGCTGATGTGCGGAGAAAACTCGCCGTGGGCCTGCCTTTGGTGTACCGCTTGATGACAGGTTGTTGGCAGCATTATGGCTCACGACAATCAAACATTAACAAAATACACCTACTGTGTGCTGGAGTTGGGTGGGCCTAGGGAAGGTATGAATGAGATTCAGTGGAATGAATGAGACCTCATCCCTCCTCTCAGGAAGATGGTCCACGGGCAGAAAGAGAAGCTAAGTATCTGAAAGGCAACTAACAGGTACAACTTAAACTGTAGCCAGTGACAAGAGCCAGTCACATGGTCGTCCTGCTGTCAGGCGACTGAGCAGATTCCAGCCGCTGATGAGGGTGAGGGATGCTGGCCATCGGGCGCTGTGGGGAAGGTTTCCGGAAGAGACAGAGGAAAAAAGAGGCCTAGAACTCACAGATTGGAGGGCCTTCGGGGGGAGAAAGGCAGGAACAGAAAAGGAAAATAAACAAGTGCCCATCAACCGTGACCTGCTTCAGGAGACAGTGTATCAGCTATTTGATTGTGGCTGTTGTAAGGTGAGAACAGGTGTTCTCACCTCAAATGTGAACACCTTGCAATATGAACACTTACTCCCCCAACAAACAACCAATCAGAACTGAACGGAGTCAGCTCTTTTCCCATTATGCACTCAATTCTCAGTAATCTGGCATTTTCAAGATATGAGACATTTTTATGTGTGGGGTTTGGGGAGGCGGACGGGGAGAAATGGTACAAAATTATTCATTTCCAAAGAAATAAAATATACAAAACAATAAAATAAGTGTCTCCAGAAAAACAAAACCAGTGCAGGGAAGGGAGAGAAAAGAGAACGAGGTGCTTATTTCAAGGAATTGCCTCACGACTGTAGAGGCTGGCCAACCCCAAATCCGCAGGGGCGCCAGCAGGCTAGAGACCCAGGAGAGGCAGCGTTTCAGTGTGAGCCCCGGCGGACACTGTCCTCCTCACGGGAAGTAAGTTCTTTTCTTTAGGGCCTTCACCTGATTGGATGAGGCCCACCCCCAATACGAAGGGTACTCTGTTTTACTCAAAGTCTGCCGATTTAAATGTTAATCTCGTCTAAAAACACATGTTCACAGAAAGACCTAGGATAGTTGACCAAATATCTGGGCCCCAGAGCCCCTAGCCAAATTGAATACAGAAAATTAACCATCAGAATAAACATACTACATTTAGGGTGTCCCAACAAATGTATACACACACTTTAAATAATTATAAAGATAGTGTTTGTTAAAATACATTCCATTTTCAAAATTGAGCTATCGGCTGTTAAGACATGTATACACTTTGAGGGAGTCACTCTATAAGCACTTATACAGGTATAAATGCTTTTTCAAAATCACCTTATCAAATTCAACTCAGGCGTGGTTGGAAGGGGTTTGTTACCAATATCAGGACTCCGTTATTACTCATCACTTAGGACAGTGGTCGGCAAACTCATTAGTCAACGGAGCCAAATATCAACAGGACAACGATTGAAATTTCTTTTGAAAGCCAATTTTTTAAACTTCAACTTCTTCTAACGCCACTTCTTCAAAATAGACTCGCCCAGGCCGTGGTGTTTTGTGGAAGAGCCACACTCAAGGGGCCAAAGAGCCGCATGTGGCTCGAGAGCCGCAGTTTGCCGACCACTGACTTAGGAATCCCATGGATGTTAGGAACTCTGTGCTGGGAACAGGGATGCAGACCACATACACACTTCTTACTGTCCACTGCAGTATCACAGATACATGTCTCTCCTCTTTCTCCTCTTCCTGTCCCAGGCTACTACCGCCAGTATCGCCAGGAGCCCGTCCGCTTCGGCAAGATCGGCTTCGGGACCCCCTATTACTACGTGGGCTGGTACGAGTGCGGCGTCTCCATCCCAGGGAAGTGGTAACCAGGGGACGAGCATGCGGGAAGCTCGCCCTGCCCGGCCCCCTGACTAACTTGCACTGAGGCCTGAGCAGGAAAAGGAAGACTGTGTCTGTCAGCAAGGCCACGAGGTGGACACTGGATGTTTGGGGCATCTTCCGTCTGGACTCAGCCCCCTTCCTGGCCTGGACCGCACATGGGATTCAATGTTGCTGTTCAGTTTGCTTCTCCACATGTTTTGCTTATAACAGCTCATCCCAGAGACAACCAAAGCACACGCCTGCCAGGGAAGCCTGCCGATTCGGGGCGGTTTTCACCCTTCTTAGGCACAACACCCAGACCATCTGTGTCTACAGAGAACAGCAGAAGCTGGCTCCATGGAACGCTACACGCTTTCTCTCTTCATCGGACTCCTCCCAGACTAGCTGACATTATGCTCTGGTCTCTGCCTTTGCAGCAGAACTGGATTACTCAAATTACCACCCAAGGAAACATATCCCACTTAAGATTTATCCCATGGACTCACCCACTGCTAGACCAAATGTATCACATCTTTGTAAATTCTCATTTTGAGATATATATATGTATATATGCATATACATATCCCCACTTGTCTGCAAGAACGTCATTAAAATCGCTAAATGTTTGCTAGATGAACGTGTGTGGGGCTTTCAGAGCACAGGTGCTGTTTATGAACATCTAACTGAAGTGTGCAGAGCATGCGTACTGAGCAGTGGAAAGCCCCGCCTCCCCCTGTGATGCTGCTGAGCTGTGGGTGGCAGGGATATGCCCCCCGGATGGCAAACTCGTTGCAGACCGAGTGCCTTCTCTTCCACGCCCGTGTGGAAGCGCACAGCTGTCTCTGTGGGGATATACCTCGTGTGTTTCCAGATTGAGAGTTTAGGTCCCAAATGATTTGCAAATCCAATCTTAAACTCCTTTTCCTCTCCTGCCCACCTCAGTGTCGATTTCTTGAATAAAGCACCTTACCCTTCTTCGCTGCAGCACACGTGAGTTTATTTAAAACACGGTGTCTGTTCCACGTGCTCCCCGTGTCCACAGCAGCTCTGTGCAATGAAGGGCTTGCCTCGGGCAGGTTTACACATAAAAAAAGCAGGGCTGGGGATGAGTGAGAGGTGGACGTGTTTCTGAGCCCACTGGCGTTCCCCTCATGTGAATGTCAGGCTCCTGGAGCCAACCAGTGCGGGCTGCCGCTGTGTTGAGGGGAAGCGGGTGTATCGTGTAGACGTGAAGGTAGAACTTACAAGCAAACAAGTAACTTTGCAGGCCACTGCATGGGGGCTGTGATGATGGACACTTCCCTCAGCTCCCGCCATCCCCTTGGCACAGCGAACAACAGTAGAGACGGTGTGAGCGCGCAGGCGGCTGGGAGAAGAGAGAGTTCCTTAGGAGGGCAGACCCAGACGCCCAGCTCCTGGCTACTCGCATGTTCATTTGCAAAATAGCATAATGCCCTCCAGGGCCATCCCTGCTGTTGCAAATGGTAGGAGTTTCTTCCTTTTTACCGAAGCATAATATTCCATATTCCATGGTGAAGATGTACCACAGTTCTCTAATCCACCCATCTGCTGATGGGCACTTAGGCTGTTTCCAAATCTTAGCTATGATAAACTGTGCTGCTATGAACATAAGGGTGCATATATCCTTTCTGATTGGTGTTTCTAGTTTCTTGGGATATATTCCTAGAAGTGGGATCACTGGATCCAATGGGAGTTCCATTTTTAACTTTTCGAGGAAACTCCATACTGTTCTCCACAGTGGCTGCACCAGCCTGCACTCCCACCAGCAGTGCACGAGGGCTCCTTTTTCTCTGCATCCTCATCAGCACTTGTTGTTTATTGACTTGTTGATTATAGCCATTCTGGCAGGTGTGAGGTGGTACCACATTGTTGTTTTGATTTGCATCTCTCAGATGATCAGTGACTTTGAGCATGTTTTCATATGTCTCTTGGCCTTCCCTATGTCCTCTTTTGAAAAGATTCTATTTAGGTCTTTTGCCCATTTTTTGATTGCGTTGTTTATCTTCCTTTTGTTAAGTTGTATGAGTTCCCTGGAAGTGTTGGAGATTAAGCTCTTATTGGAGATAACATTGGCAACTGTGTCCTTCCGTGCAGTGACAGGAACCTTTAAGTAGCTCTTGGGGCTCTTGTACATGGAAGGAGGTGGGTTTTTTCAAAGAAGGATGTCTAAAAACACCTTATATTTTACTTATTAACACTCAAACATATTCAATAAAGATCTCAGTAAAAGTGAATTTTCCTAAGCGGGTAACTGGTTTCGGCACCCACCCGCCGCCATCACCATCGCCATCGGGAGAGGCTCCCCGCTGAGGCCCCTGGGAGAGCCGCAGTTTGCCATTCCCTGAGTGTTCCCTCGGCTCTGAAGCATCATTAGCCCTCAGTGCGCTCAGGACAGGAGTGCTGGGCTGTCCCACAGCCGGCCTGGTCCCGCCGCCTCTGAGGGAGCCGGGAGCACAGAGGAGCAGGCGCCTCTTCTTCGCGATCCACTCACTTCACAACCCCACGCATGTGCCTCGCTCCTTCCACACCAAAGGGCTTCCTCTCCTCAGCAACTCGGGGATCCCCTGGCGTTCACTCACGCCATGACTACCGAGCCCTGTGATACCTCAGGCTGTATTTCATTACAGGAGCCGACTTTCATTAGAAGTGTTTGTGCCCTGGCCAGTGTGCTCAGTGGTCAGAGCACCAGCCTGCACACTAAAGGGTGTAGGTTTGATTCCTGGCCAAGGGCACATCCCTGGGTTGCAGATTCCTGGCCCCCGGTGGGGGTACATGTGAGAGGCAACTGTTAGATGTGTCTGTCTCACATCAATGTTTTTTCCTCTCTACCCCCCACTCTCCCCCACTCCCACTCTCTAAAAAAAAAGAAAGAAAATAAGAAATGGAAAAAATATCCTCAGTTGAGGATTAACAACAAAAAAGTGTTTGCAAGTTTTGATGGAAATTACTACAAACCCCAGATGATAGAGCAGCCAAAACAGAAACACCGGCGCTAAGCCAGGTGGTATTATTACCAAATTCTGTCCAAATGTGGTTACATCACGGTTCACATGAGTGCTCGTGGCCGCGTCCAGCTCTGGCCCGTGTCCGCTCCGGAGGCCGCGTCTCAGGAACGCCAGGGGCCTGAAGCCACTCCTGTCGAGTCAGGGGGGCATCTATGGGGACATCATCTATTTCAAAGGCTCTGAAGAAGCAGCCACTTGGCCAGCTCCAGAGGCGGAAGTGGCACACGTGGGAATGAAAGGAAAAGAACAGGTGACGACATGGCGAGGAGCGACCGTGGGAGCAGGGAGGTGCCCGCACCGAGAAGCCGCAATAGAACGGGACCTTCTGAGCCCGCCTGGAGGCCGGCCTGTGCTCCTGAGCTGCGAGCCAGCATGGCTTTGAACGGTTCTAAACCAAATAGCATAGCTTTGTGACAGTTCTAAACCAAACAGCGTGGCTTTGTGACGGTTCTAAACCAAACAGAGTGGCTTTGTAATGGGTTCTAAACTGGGCAGACAAGGAAAAGCCCATGGTAGTCAACAGAAGCCATGTGTGGTCACAGGCCTGAAATATTTACCCCCTCACCCTGCAAGAAGGTGTGCACAGCTTAGGTTAGAGTTCTCTGAGGTTTAAAGACAGTTTAAGCAAAGTCCTAGTTAAAAGCTATCACACCATATAGGACTTCATAGATGTTGGCTTTCCTCGTACTTGAATTACGTTTGGAAATTTATGGATATGCCTCAGGATAAAAAAGTGGAGGAATTCAGTGGGTGTGGGGGTGATCCAAAGGAGGATCTGAAAGCTCTGTATGGGAACTAGTCTGCTCTAGAAAACGTTTGAGATTCATGAAGGGCGGGTTTGGGGTGTGGTGTGTGTGTGTGTGTGTGTGTGTGTGTGCGCGCGCGCGCACTGTGCTGTGTGCTGCATCTCTATTGCCCTAGCTTCATCAGAGTGCAGCTGCTCTGAGACCTTGTCAATTCCGTTCGCAGCATTTCTGGTTGCCTCGCTGTATCGGAAATATTTGTTTGGTGACCACAGCTCCGTTCCGTTTTTGATGCTGAATTGGAAAATGCTGTTTGTCCTTTGGGAACGTTCTAGTTAACAAGGAACAGATGGTGGTCTGAGAGGTACGGAACTTGTTGACTAGCAGAAAGATCCTCTTGGTGTGCAGTTAGGGCTTCCTCTGTAGCAGGGAGATTTCTGAAGTAATGTGTAATGATGGAGTGGAAAATATCTGTATCCTAGCTTATAGTTCAAATACAAGGTAGTTATTATCAATGCATCCATGTATATACATCTGTAACAGACTTTATTAAGTCCTTCCTAAGTGTCAGGGACCCTTCTGAGTATAGATTCCTTCTTTGGTGTTTTTTTAAAAAGATAAAAAAAAACACAGCAACCATTGCATTGAGGCATGGTTGGCATACAAAAGGCTGTATATAATCAATGTGTACAATGTGATAAGTATATATCTATGAAACCATCACCACTCTCTGTACCAGAATACACCCATTACCTTCAAAAGTTTCTTCCCATCTCTGAATTTATTATTGTGTGTGCGTGATAAGAACACTTAACATAGAACCTGCCCTCTGAGCAGGTTTTGAGTGTGTGATACAGTATGTCAGTACAGGCCTGTGCTGTACAGCAGACCTCTGGTCATACATGACCAAGACAAATGCCTCCGCCCTTCCCCTCCCCAACCCCTGGCAACCACCACTGCACTCGCTGCTTCAGAGTTTATTTTAGTTTCCACAGGTAAGTGGAATCATGCAATACCTGTCCTGTGACTGGCTTATTTTACTCAGTCCACTGAGTTCATTCATGTTGTCACAATTGGCAGAATTTTTCTTCTTATTAAAGGCTAAATAATATTCCATTGTGTGTGTGTGTGCCACAAGATTGATAGTGTACACTCCTGAATTTTGACAAATTTATAGTCATGTAAGCACCACTATAATTAAAATAGACAATAGTTCCATTACCCCCACACACAAAT